AAGTATAAGATGATGCAATCTAACCTGTTCAAGTAATTTCTGTAGCATTAGCCTGCCGTTATTTGCTCCGTTTTACTCTTTTGCTTTTTGCTTCCGTCAAAAATGGTCAGAACCCTTACCCAACCGTCTGACTGTCGCAAAAGACTAACATAAGGCATAGTATGGTGATTTTTTTTACATAAGTTTACTTTGGTTGGTTCAACTGACATTCCTTCCTCAAACAAGTCTTAGTTCCTTATCAAGTTTTATTAAGTTAATAGTTTAATGCGACAAATTTTTCTGTCACATTTACTGCGAAACGCGGCTAAGTATCGGTGGAGATAGGCTTATATGAATTTCAGTAACCTGGTCGCTATACAACAAGTAGCATCTTTTCCACCTGCTAATGCATGAAATAGTTGTAGACTTTGAATCTCAAGAGTGCCAATTACCAGTTTAATAATCAAACACAATACCATGGACAAAGGCCCCAAATCCCATATTAGGGCTCTTTTTTTCTAAAGAACGCCTCATTGGCCTGTAAAATGCAAGGAATTGTTGTAGTAGGCCTCCACTAACCCATGGCATATTTTGTTGTCGTCAGCAATCGGGCACTTAACACAATAAACAACAGTTGACAACAGATCTCTTATATGTTCCAAATCTGGTCAGACCACGCCTGTAATAATAGCTTATCTGAATAAATACATTAGGAGATCGAGCAGATATTTTGCGCCGACTCGGATCTTGGTATATCTACCTCACGTATCCCCTTGTATTTCGGCGATCTTATGAACAAAATAGGTTCAGGACAACCGAAGGTAAAGAAAAACATAGTGGTTGGTGGAGTGAAGCGAAGTCTACGCGTGCCGTCCGCCTGTTCGTATCCAATTCCTCGTGTACGTGGTTTCACTTTGGGGGGCGACTAAAAGATGACACATAATTACCAAATACCCGCGGAAGAAACCAACGGTTGCCGTGCACTCTACATTCAAAAATGAGATTTGAATTATCTGTCGTTCAACAAACTGCCAAGTCACGAAAACTAGCGTGCTGTGATGATTTTAAAGCGCATCAAATCGTGTAAGGTGAGGAAAGGGTAGGATCATCAGAATGCGCCTCTATCTCTACTTCATTCTCAAAATTCTCTAGACTTACTGTCCGACTAATAAATGAAACGTCCTAGGTCACATGCCTCACGCATTCTGCGGACATGCACAACATTAGTTCTAAACTGGAACTGTTTCAGTGTAGCCTAGTTAACATATGCTATAAACCAGGGTAGTCCCCTGTTTTGGTCTGGTGTCGCGATGACCTAGCCGGTATGAAGGAAGTTCAAACGGTCAACGCACTGCATGGCTGGAAAATCTGCGCGAACGTGCAGTTCAGTTGTGCGCTGTTTTGTGTCAGTGTCTCGGCCATGAAATTCTTTTATTCTCTCCCCTGTGGATCTCCGCCGCTTGGTCCCAGCCCGCATGGGTGCTAGTCTGCGTGATGTAATGAAACTGCAGCATTAGGACACAACCCCAGTCTAATACGATTCCTACAAAATTTGGAAATTAAAACTACGAAGCAACTTGGTGTTACAATTAATGTCGAAGTGCTAACGGGTGAACATACGGTGCATGACCGATCCCATGAAATATTGGCTAAAGTTCCGAAATGTTTTCTGGACCAGGAAGGATAACTAAGGTGTGTTTGTTAATTTGGTTTTCATGCGACATAATCCAATAAAATTTCGCACTTGCCACAATGACGGCTTTTGAATGTACTTCCTCCCGACCTCCCGTAGTAACCAGACTTGGCAAAAAATACTACTTAAGTAGCACTCATTTGTACGCTAATCTTCCTTGGACATATAAATTCAAATATATTTTATAGAAAACAACATCAGAAGTGTACTTTCTTTTACTATTTCGGTGAACAATGACGTTGTCTTTACATTTTGTACCCGACATTAGTGTAAGTATATTTAGGATTTAAAATTTTATTATTAGATTTTTAAGATCGTGCGATGTCCTTTTATTTGTTATCGCACCAGTCCGTTTACCAATCCTGCTCTTGAAATCTAAAACATAGTCCGCATTCATTGCAAAATTTTATGAATTCTATATGGTAACTTCTTAAAAGCATCGAGGAACATACGATTTTCCTTAGGCGGAAAGCATTCATCTTGCAGTCTACAATCGCCAAACGCAACTGCAATGAGAGACCAAGATCAAAATTATTCAGAAATCGGAAAATTTTTAAAGCCTATGCTTGCACTTACTTTGAGTATAGAATGTATAATCATTGTGATTTTCTACCAAAAGAATGAATTAAAGCTTATATTTGTGCATGTTTTCTATAAACTATATTTGGATTTAGATAAACATCGAAAATCAATGCGATAAATGTATGCTTCTACATTGGTTATTTTTACCGGGTGTGGTTTCTGCAAGAGGTCAGAAAGAAGTACATTCAAAAGCCGACGCCGTGGCAAAACCGAACTATTATAGTATTTCAACCGCACCTAAGTAATGCTTCCTAATCAAATACGTATTTTAGAATTTTGGCCAACATTTCACGATGTCGTTCACTCACTGTAGTGTACTTTTCTAGTTCGTACTACTAACATGCTTGTTTGCTATCTCATGAAAGTACTTATTACGACAATGGAAGTTGATATTGACATTTCTGTCTCGCCGACCTAACTGAGTGGTTGGGCATCAACAGCGGACATGGGGTGCGGGTTTCATTTGTGAGCAGAGCTTATTAATTACACCAAACACAGGAGGTGCACCTAAACCATCATCTAATCGAGTCTGAACTAGAAAAAACAGCTGGAAAACGCAAAATAGGATGTTTTTCATGCTAAAGCTTGAGCTAGCGGTCGTGAAATGGACAGGACTTGTGACTATGGTGCTAGTTCAAGTCTGTGTACTTCACAACGTCCACACAAATGATACGCTGGACTAGCACGGCAGACGGATTAAGGCAAACCATGTTTCCCCCGGTTTGCATGGAGTCTGCTCATCCTACAAGAAATGGCATGTATGGGGATGTTTAGTGGCCCGCCTATACGCATGTACCTGCCACGCCGTCCGCTTGCATTAAATCCGGGCATTATACTGTTGCCGATTCAGACAACGGGCTACTGCATGGAAGAGGGAAGGGTAGGCACAGTCAACTTTGCGGACTTTATGGACACAGCACTTTTCGGTGCTACCTCATTATCAAAAATTAAACGGACAAAATGTCGTGACTTGGGAGGCTGAGAGCAGACAGATAAACTCGTCCTCTCATGACAGAGAGTTATGTCGCAATAGCCCCTGTTAAATATGGATTAACGGTACGCCCGTTCAGCCAAGAAAGGAGCTGTTTGCTTCTTTTTACGAAAACATGGTTTACTGTGCGTGTGGGGTACGCTCAGGCGGGCCTTTTGTCTTAGCCAGCCACTAGTGCGGGCCAGCCTACTGGCATCCTTACTCAATCTTGACACTAAACACAGGTGGGTGAGGGAAGCCAGTGTGACAGATACTTCACAAGTCCGTCATTACGCGTCATTGCACGCAGGTTTTCGATCTACGTCAATCCTATCATAGAGCATACGACAGTCGACGTGACGATTTCTACCTGAGGATGTAAGAGTCATCTGGAAGACCTGCTTTTGTCGTAGGTAAGCAACAAGTATTTTTAAATTCCTGTACCCTTTCTACGCAGTCATTAAATCACGAGCAACAGACAGTTACGGCTGTCCAGCTGTTTGTACATCCGACACGTTCTGCATCACATTATTTCTGATATAATTGTTGGATATCCGCTCGTATCCATTAAACATACTTGACAGCATAGCTGTTGTTGCAAGCCAATCTGCATATCATCAGTCACATGCTTCCTAACGTCATTTTGGACACGTAATAAGGCCAAAAAGCGGAAGTTCAAACTCGATTCATCATCGAAACAATCATATTATTCTTTGAGGTTGCACCTGCGGTTCCCCACTTTCGTTGTTTGTACCCTATTAACTGGAAAATGAGGGCACAGATGGCAGAACATTTTTGAAGTGGGGTGTTGCAGGAAAATCTCCTCGTTCTTCTCTTCCTCCTCCCTCTCCCACTTCTGCAAATGTGCCCAAAAAGCATACCGGGACTCTTGGCGGGGCTTGCCCTACAGCAGTATTGAAGAAAAGATTATGATTGGTGTGTAATGAAACCAGTTAGGTTCCACTTCCGCGCCTATTGGCTGTAAAGAAGGCTGTGGTTTACGGGCTGTGATTTCTGTATGAGCTCGAAAAGAAGTGCATTTAAAAACGGACATTGTGACAAAACTGAACTAATATAGTATTAAAATCTCACCTAAATAATGTTTCCTAATCGAAAGCGTATTTCGGAATTTTGTCGCGAGTATGCAACAACTACATTAAATGTCTTGTACCCACTAATTCGAAGACAGTACATCAAGAACAACGGTTACTTATGGCGGTCAAGCTGTTTTTGCGTCTGAAACGTTCCGCGTCACATTATTTCTGATATACTTGTTGGATATCCGCTCATATTAACTAAACATACTTGGCATCATGGCTGTGGTTGTAAGCCTGCGTGCATATCATCAGTCACAGGTTTATTAACGTCATATCGAACATGCAGTAAGGCCGAAACGCGGAAGTTCAAACCCGATTCATCATTTTAACAATCAAATTATTATTTAAAGTTGCACCTGCTGTTCCGCACTTTCGTTGGTTGTACCCTCTTAACTAGAACATGAGTGCACAGAAGACAGAACAATTTTGAGATAAGTTGTTGCAGGAAAACTTCCTCGTCCTCGTACTTCTCTTCCTCCTCTCTCTCTCCCTTCAAAATTTGTGCCCAAAAGCCTACCGGGACTCCTGGCGCGGCTTACCTTACAGCAGTAATGAAGGAAGGATTATGATTGGTGTGTAACGAAACCAGTAAGGTTTCAGTCTCGCGCCCATTGGCTGTGAGGATGGATTGGGTTTAAGATATGGGGCGCTCAACTGCCGGTTGCCTCATTCATTACAAATGGGCCAACGCGGATCATCCGTTGCTGCGGACGCAGCAGTTTGTGAAAGATGCAATAAAGTGTAAGTTTACAAAGTTGCTTCCTATCTTTCTTCTGTGATTTACTGTAACTTTAAAGTCTCGAGCTCTGTTTTTCTCAGAATTTCCAGACCACCTCGGCTGAGCGAAGAAACATTCGCTCCAAAAGTTTAAGGATGTAGAAAAGTACTGTTATTCGACGAATAATTTCAAGCAAGTTCTTATGTCAACTCGCGTAAAGGAGCCAACAAGGCGAAATATATACGCATCATCCAGCCATAATCGCATGGGTTTTGCTCTGCGAAATTAATGCACGCCTATTTTTGAGGTCTTACTGCGAAGTAAGCTGTAACATTTACGGACAAAATGCATACGTCTAAGTCGTATGAGGCTGCAATAATAGAAATGTAAGTATGGTCATCAAATTCTCGATGTACAATTATCAATAAAAAGAGAAACCTCCGCTTGTCTGTTTACAGTAGGTGGGTTAAATCATGAAATGTCAACTGAGATTCCAAAATACGTATTCTTTTCGAAAAAAACAATTATGTAGGGCTGTGATACTAATCAGTCTGCATCCTAATTATATAGTAATTCAATTACCTTATGATGTCGACTTTCGAAGGACCCTTCTTTCGGTTTCATGCAGGAAATACACTCAGTAAAATAAGGACTACCAATGTTGAATGAATTTTTCTCATTGATTTTCGATGTCCCTAAATGTCTATTTATATTTCATGGAAGATAGACATAAACATATTTTTCCTTTCGCCCATTCGGTTGAAAGTTGCGTCTCGTTTCAATCTTTTACTCAAAATATGGGCATAATTCGGTTTTGAAAAAGATTCTAGCTGTGAAGCTTTTAGAACCGTGCAAAGGCCGTTTATAAAACGTAATGTCTCCGCATTTAACAATGTGGCTGGTAAAGTTAAGCATATGGATCAGATCCAGTGTTACATTTTATGAAAGCTTTGTAGTGTCCTTTTAGTATCGTAGAGAAATGTGTGATTTTCCGTACGCGGAAAATGTACGGTTTGTAGTTTGGAAACCGCGAATCCAAGTGTAACGGCAGAATGGGTTCACAATTATTGGGGAATTTGAGACGTTTTTGAAAAGCGAATATTACACTTCCTTTGTGTACCACATTGGAAAAAGACGTAATTTCTTGCCGAATGAATGAAAGAATGAATATTTGTGTGCATATTTTACATGAAATATGATTGATCATATAGGTTCATCGAAAATCGATGATAAAACTTCATGCAAGATACGCAATCACTTTTTACAGAGTGTCGTTTTCGCCTACATCCGTCGGGAAGTTCACTCGAAAACCGCCATTGTGAGGTAACTGAATTATTATAGAATTTTGCTGCAGGCTGATCAGTTTCACAATCCTATTTGATCAATCTTTTTGAAACGAAAACGCATTTCAGAATTACGGTTGACATTTCATGAATAAGTCCACTTACTGTATCTTGGGTTTCAAACGTTTGTCAGAATTTTTATTATTTAACCCGCTCCCCGATGGTGTTGCGAACCGGAGTGTAAACGAGAATCATTCGCCTATACATCAACATCACCACAACAGTTAGACAGGTGTCCGCGTCCAGGACGTTTCAAATTCCATTTTCACAGCGCAATCTGTGCCCATGGGCAAGGCAAAGCAAGAATATAAATAGAACTGATTGTGGGTCGGCGACATTGGGTCTGCTTGCGATCGTCTTTTCAGGAGTGTATTGGTTGATCAGGGCACCAGAGTCGAGGTAGGAACAAATAAAAATGGAACCTCCAAAGACTAAAATGCTCGCAGCATACAGAATACTTCTAAACGTTGTTCAGATAAAAGCGCATATTAATCCGCAAAGAAATAGTTATTTTTTAGTGGTGAAAGTTAGGTCTGTCGCGCATCTGGGAGGATGAAATTTAGTGTGCCAGTAATGCATGCTGGCGAATTGTTAAGGCCCTGATGAAAAACCTATTTTCCGAAATTTTCATACATTTTTCCTAACGTACCTGCAGAAGTGTCTGTCATCTACATGTGCAAATAGTTTAAAAGAACAAGCATGAAGTCAGTCTTTCCATAAAGAAGGAGATTTCGTTTTCTTGTTTGTTTAACCAACCGGCTTCCATTTTGAAAATGACCAGACAGAGCGATAAATCGACTGGTCAGAAATCAACTTTGTACGACCATACAACAAGCGTATTTGTGAGGAACCTCGACGATAATCCAGTAGTGAAAGGACGAGGTTTACGGCTGGTGTTCTGCAGTCTTTAATTTGCTGGCTCTGTGGATTACAAAGGAACGCATCCGTGTTGAGTCGGGCCTGCAGTCAATAAATTATGGCCAATTGCTTGTCAGGCCTATTTTGTGGATAGAATTGGGAGGATGTCCCTATAAGCGGCAGAACCGATAGTGCAATCCGAAACCTTCCCATCTACCAGCGTGCGAGGTCTATTTTGCAATACGATAAAACTACTGAACCTCAACAGCAACCACCCAAGCAGCCAGAAACGCAGTTTTGTATGGACGCTCTATCGTCATACCGAAACGCAATGCAGTGAGCCGGAAGACAAAATTGCCGAACTACAATAACTCCGACGGGTATTCAGAGCCAATAGCTACCCGCGCAACTTTGTCAACCGGTGTATGCGCAAAAGGGCCGAAAGGCCAAACCGCACCAATTCCATATTTTGTCGAGCGAATCTGTCTGCTAAGAACGTTTCGGAAGCTATCAGCCGCCTTCTCGGGCCACTTGGGTTTGGAGTCGCATACAGACTGGAGGCAACCGTCAGGTGTCAGGTAATGAAACCGAAAGACCCGCTGTCATGACAAGAAACGTCTACATTCGTTTGTAGGGTCTGGGGAAGTTGCGGGCAAAGCTGCAACGACAGAGAAACCAGCAGGCAGCTCTGAACGCGAATGGCTGAACACGCTGCAGCGGTGCCGAGAAATGGTGCCAGCTCTCAATTTGCGGCTTGCTCGAAGAAATCTGGCCGCACGTTCAAATTCGACGAGGCCGAAATTCTAGTTACAAGTGCCAACCGCGTGAACTGCGAGCTGTTCGGGTGATGGTTCACTGCCCCCCCAGTCCATTAACAAGTGCAATGAACTTCCACTTCCATACTCGTTGCTGAGACTTCGCCTAGGCGGAGAAATTAGCCACGCGGGAACCTCACATGTGGACATTGCTCCCAACGTCGGGGTCGGTAGGTCTGATGGTGGGGCAATCATCACACCAACATTCAACGCACGTGATAAAATTGCAGCAATTAACGGCGCGAATGTCGGCCATCAAACAGTCATCACACCAAGTGCAACGATTGTTGATGGGGGGATAGAAGCCATAAATATTGATAGGTATTCGGCAGCTTTGCGTCTGCATCCTGTAAATATTGCAACCCCTTATGCATGAACCACCCCATTTCTGTTATTGTCTCTGATGATTGGTTTGAGTAAGAATCTGAAACGTTAGGCGAATAAATTTTTTGTCCCAACGATCGTATCTGCTTCATCACGACGGCTTCCTGGAAATCGTCTCTTCGCCTCTATTGTTAAGTTACTTGTTAGTCGTGGATGAAAACGGGCGAGAAGAAAATATTTGCGCAATTCATACACTCCTAAATCGATGCCGCAAATAGGAGCGAGCATTCAAGCTAGAGGTACATGCACGAGTTGTCGATTGAAAAGTCACGCAATTGATATTATCAGTGGGCATGACTTGTTAGAAAACAACTACCTTCTGTTCTGATGTTGTCGGCGAATGCTGACCACTCGATTCGACAGTGTCAACATTCCTCAGCCAAAGTGACGGCTACTAGGCTGAGCGCAGGGGAACACCTGCAGAGTTCACACTTACGCGGCCCAGAAGTAATTATCACAATATCAAAACGCAGTTTCGGTAGCCGCCTGCAATAGGTGTGACCCGGATATCCTGTTTCGTCGTTTACACTCATTGCAGTGTTGACAGTTTAACTTGGATTCATGTCAGTGCCTGTCTATTCAAGTGGCGACTCGAAGGTTTGCGCATCATCAATTTAAGCATGTGAATTCAGATATACCACCCCTGACACTTCAAATTTGCGATCAGATTGTAAATCTCTGGCGTCGAACGATTACAAAATAATGTCTCCGCAGCATCAAAGTCTCACGACGTTTAGGACGAGCCAAAAACTCACAAACTGCATCACAAGCGCCTATATATAGTACTCATCAAAAGGCGAGGGTAGCCAGTGCGTTGAATTGCTCAATATTGAATTCGAATCATGTAGATCCCTCTGGTAAAAGAAATAGATTGCGGACTTAAATAAGCTTTACTTACACCACTTCGGCTGCTGGTTCAACTGTACTACATAAAGTGAAGTAAGAATGATTGGCAAAGAGCTTGTGGCCCAGTGGCTAGTAGCGGGGACTTCTAACAAACAGGTCGCGAGTCCGAGCCTCGGGTGTTCCACACTTCGGGGTTGGGTATGACTGGCTGACGACGGCTATTAAGCCAGAAATGGCAATTCTAGTCTCCCTTGTCTTCGTCGGTAATGCCACTCTGCCTATATCATGCGCCGCTGTGCGACCGCTATTTGGGCTTGAGAGAAAGCCCATAAGGCACAACGGGACGAGTGAGTTCCGTAGGAACGATGGGTGAGCGCCCCCTGCCATTGTATATTCCCGATCGAAATCGACAGGGCAACGGGCTCGTGGCCCAGTTGCTAGAGGTGCGGACTTCTAAGTAACAGGTCGAGAGTTCGAGCCTCTGGTGTTCCAAACTTCGGGGTTGGGTATGACTGGCTGACGACGGCTATTAAGCCAGAATTGGCCATTCCAGTCTCTCTTGTCTTTGTCGGTAATGCCATTGGTGACTATATTTGCATAATGCACAGTGAGCCAGATTCATTATCCTCAACCTGCGCTTCTCTACCCATTCACTCATGACTTTGCTTTATCTAGTCATATGATATGTGATTGGTCAGTGGTTATCCTCGTCGTTGGATTCTAATCTCAATTTGTACAAACGGTTAATAAGTCAGAAATGACCATCCCATCCTCCCCTTTTTTGTCGGTATTCTTTAGTAGCCACCTTCGAAGTGTATGCAGGGGCTCAAGATTGAGCCCAAAGGCACAATGTGATGGGCATGTACCGTAGCCTGTTTGATGAACGCTGGTTCATAGATGGACAGCTATCGTTGTAGGCAGTGATCCTGGGACACATAAGCGTTTGTAGGATTTATACCTTTATTAAAATGCCTTTTAAAAAAACACTGAGATGCCCATCCACAGATGCAATAGTGGTTATGTAGCTTCTGAGAACATACGTTACTAGCGCCGGGGCGTTATACTCCCCGACATTTTACCCTTGTTATCCGCGTGATGTTCATCTTGCCTATAAATTGATAAATCTGAAATGGGTGCCTCGGTCAAACGTTTCTTGAATCCACAAAATTCGAGTCGATGGCGTCATACCAACTGCAATTGTCATCCTTTTTCTGCCTGTAGGTATAACTTATAGTTGATTTGGTTTTCATCCTCCTGCATCCGCCAAGTAGACTTCCAAAAAAGAGCAAAAAGTCGAAACGAGACCATCCTAGCTCCTCGATACGACCTCGCCAGTTCTGTGAACGTTTCTATAGGTAAACAGTCGTCTTTCCATTGTCTACAAACAGGGTGGGGTCCGGGACCCAAATGGTGAAGCTTGCATCTCAATGTAAGTCTGGACTCCGTGGTTAGAACCTGCGTCCGTTAAGTCAGGAGTTCGGATATGGGTCGGTGTTAGATGCGCTCTAAGTCGAGATGGCCTCTCCTATGTCCGTCTGCGGTAGCCCAAAATCGAGTTTCCAAGATAAACTGAAACACTGCATTGCGCAATTAAAGCGCGCGATACTGTAGAAGCAGAAACTTTAAAAAGAGATGAACAAAGCTGTACAAAACTCATCAAACGTTGCTAATCTCCCCATTTAAGTGCAAATTACTGTGTTCTTACGCCCAGTTCCGACAATGAGGCAGGTTTCCTGCCATTTTAATCTCCCTCTAGACCCGCCATTCCCAACACCATGGCGTGCGGTCACACCGTTTGCCTCGAGCCCTGCCTTAATCTGGAAAATGCGGACCAGACGTCTGCTCAGTGTCCTTTCGGCTGCACTGAGACAAGTGTTACCGAAATGGAGTCGGGCACGTCTACGCTGTCGTCCCCAGAAGAACCGCCGGCAGTCTGTCCCGAGTGCGAATCGTCGCATCCCGCTTCCTGTAAACACAGTTCGAAGGTAATTTGTTTAATGGGTATCAATTTTTACGAGACCTAAGTGTGTACGATGTAGTAGAAAAAGATTAACCACCCTCGTCATTGAGGGAGGTTTTGTTTTGCTTTGTAAGTCAGTCCGTTTTTGTTTACGCTGAAAATCGAGTCACAAGGAGTTTCCATATACAGAAAATTTATTTTTGACTTACGAAATGTTAAAAGTACATTGAGGAAATCTCTGTTTGCAAGATACTCTCGGTGTGAGCATTATTCAAGAGACAAAAACCAGATTTCTTACAGATAAACGGATAAAGGCTGGGAAATTCACCGATGAGGCGATTCTCTCGCAGATGCTTCAGGTAGAAGCATAATATCGGCTGGATTTTACGTTGGCGCCTATGGTGTCAGTACGGTAAGTAATTAAACGATATCATAGGCGTATGCCCATGCGGAGCCTTGTACGACGGATTTACAATGGTGTTCACAAGCCGTGTCTGACGTAGTCATGGTGTTCTCAGTTGGATAAGCGCGGTACTCGAATGAGCCGGACTAAATATTGACCTTTAATTACATTACCAAAAATTGATGTAATCTGTTGAGAATGATGATTCTCCATTGATAATGTGTAAGTGAACTTCTGGTCGGAGCCTCGAAGCTCAAATTATGAGGGCATTGGTTGTACTATAGCTTTTCCTTTGCTGTCGTTGGTTGGAATGTCAGCTAGGACTCTGAGGGCTTTGCATTTGGACTAAAAGCACTCTGTTGATTAAATGTTTACGAAGATGTGCCAACAATGATTCTTAAGGAGGTTTGCGATGCATATTGTATCACAATTAACTTTCATCTTAACTTGTCAGTCTCCTGAATACTATGTAACTTATATTTATTTCTAAAAGATTGTTATCTAAGCGCTTAGTTACTATATCGTTGAGAAAAAAGTAACGTAGTCCAACTTTTAATGTGGGACGACTAAGGACTGTAGCTTGATCTCGTGTGACTATAAAAAACAGTGAATAGACTGGCAATCAGGCGAAATGCGCGGTCTATACTCGGACATTTTTTGTGAACAGTACGGAGTCAAACAAAAAAAGACAAAACAAATTTTAGTTGATTGGCTGTTTCCCACGAATTGACCAAAAAGAGCCATAGACGCATAAAAAGGACGACGAATAACAGACGTACGCCTAGAATTGATTTCCGGTAGCATTTACCAGTCGAAACTAAAAGTAGCGGAGTGAATTGTTAAAATTATTGGTGCGAAGAAATAAGCCGTCAATACTGTATGTAGTTGGACGCCACCAACAGGACGTAAAACGACTTCTGTAACCAAAAGCGTTCTGTGAAAATCTCGGTTACTTACGTTGGAAGCGCATTTGAAAATTTACTCGTTCAATGGTTTTCAGTCAGCCATGGGCAAACGACAATGTGTCTGTCACCTGGAAAACCCACTGTTAATTGTGAGGTTATTGAAAATTTTCCCAACTTATAAGTTGGGTAAATAGTTCAAACTTATAAACGAAGATGTATGCGCACTTTAAAAGTCGCAGTTGTTTGCGTACTTATTGGAAGAAAATGTATGAAAATGCACAAACGTTTATGGTGACTTACTTTCGCTTTCTAAACTCAGAAAATGTTCCTTTCCTAGAGACTTGGCAGCGTTTTGACCTTTGAGCTGTTTGATTCATATTTATGAAAATGATTCTCTGATCGTGTAGTCAGTTTCATCCTATGAATTCCGAAACTATACAGGCTCTGTTACCCAGCTGTTAAGGAATAGGCGAGATATTCTTAGATCACCCATGTAACGGTTAATAAAAATATCCTGACTTGCTGTTAATTCAACCAAAACTCAGTGATTTTTTATCACGCCGATCGCATGATCCGCAGTCTATTTTTTGCGTGAAATGCCGATTTGAACAAGCTGGTAAGACGAATTCGGTTAGATGTGGTTATGTTGCCCCATCTGATGTAAACCAACCCCTAACCACCTGCAATACGATACCTGTGGTAAAAGGGTTATTTAAAGGTGTGACCGAAGTACTTAGAGGCGACCAGGTAAAGTAATGGTACGTAAAAGAAAAGCTATTGGTAATGCGCGTTTGTACTTTGAGCAGTTAAAAATAGTTGCTCAAACTCCTAACCACTGACATTACCGACAAAGACAAGGGAGACTGGAATGGCCATTTCTGGCTTATTAGCCGTCGCCAACCAGGCATACACAATCCCAAAGTGTGGAACACCGAGAGGGCAACGAGACCGTAGCTAAGTGGTTAGAGACGTTGAACTTCTATCTAACAGGTCACGAGTTCGAGACTCAAGTGTTCCACACTTCGGGGTTGTGTCTGACTAACTGGCGACGACTAATAAGCTAGTAATAGCCCTTACAGTTGACCTTGTCCTTGTCGAAAAAACCATCCTGACTATGTCATACGCCACTGTGCGGCTGCTTGTTGGGCTCGAGAGAGAGAGTGGGCAAGTCATAACGTCACGAGTGAGTTCCGTAAGAAGGATCGGTGAGCGCCCACCCACCGCAGTATTATGTCAGGCAGGTGGAGCTACATTACCGCACCTTACCAGCAATTTAAATAATTTAATTACCGCTACTACGATGAGCATCGTCTTAGTCACTTGTATGTCACATTGGTTACGCCACTTGACAAGGACATAGACAAGCAGATGAGAGTAACTCGGGCGGTGTGCCTTTGACTGGCGTACTTTAATAACGACGGCACAAATAACGTTTGTTCAGAAAAAGACTGTAATTCATACGGACCGCTGAGAGGAGAGGTCCGTCTACAACTACGATCTCATGGTGACCATGAACTCCCAACTACCCTATCTGGTCTCTGCTGATACGGTCATGATAGGCATCATTGGCCATTGCCATTGCAATGCCAAAAAGGGAATAAGCATTATCGATTGGCCCAATTGTCATTACCGATCTGATAGCTTATTGAAGGCATAGGAGACGGGCAAAGTTGGTTTCTATGCTATGTTGACTGTATATTGTGTATCCGCAGATCACGGCTAATTTGCTTCCGGCGTCTTTTATCAAAAAATTATCGGGCTGCATTTAAGGCCGAGGCCCTCACAAGAGAATAGACAGTCTTCACACTAAGACTCCTCAGACATCCCATGCGGATACTGGATTTCATTTTGGATTAAGACCCATGTTTAGGCGGTAGATAGTCAAGGATAACCTAAGCTGCTTACGGCGTTGTGTGTAACCCTCTCCGTTTAAACTTTGTTCGGGAGTAAAAGAGGAGCATTTTAGGAATATTTTCGGAAAGTACTGAATGAAAAATCGTCCATGCCGAATACCTTCATATATTTTTGCCTGCCAGTTCAGCACGGCTGCTGAGGCGTAACTTCCGTCCTATGCACTGCTTTGTGGAGCCACAGATGCGAGCCAAGTGTCGGAAAGAAACGAGTAAATGTACACGTTAGGCTTATCGAATCTTCCTTGGGGAATTTGTGATGCATTGCGTATAGGCACTTATTTCCATCCTCTTCATGCTTGCACTAGCATGTACAGTAATCTTTTTGATGTTCAACATCCTGCGTGGTAACTGCCGGCAGTGTAGTCCTAATAAGTTATTCGGGTCAACGTGAAGTCATCAACCACCAGTCTCCCGCATCGGCACCATCGAAGTGACTATAGGGCTTCAATGTAGGTCACTTCACACGACACCTCAAACACCCCAACCTGAGTAACACCAATGGAATGATGGTGTACTAAACAATAAAAACAAACTGAACACAAGTTAATTGAAGACATGGTCGAATTGCCATCAAAAAATATATATATATTTGAGCTGGCCTCTATTTTGGATGTATTAGAAACGCATTACATGAATAGCTCCGCTAAGCTATAACCAGTATATTAGTTTGTCTACAAGTCGAAATCAAATGAATGGAACCTAACGGTGTACGTACTGAAAGCCAATGTTTTGGATACTAAAATGAGCAGTCTTAGCATTTCCAGCAAATGCAAGATCTCTTTCGAAAAAATAATCGTTTGCGTTTGTACAGTATACTTTTTAGTTAGATGTCATTAAGTTTCAAGTTCTCCTTATTTGTTCATCTCCAGATTTGTTTAGCATATCGATAAAACCACAAATATAGAACACAGATTCCATTAATAATGAATATCCCTATAACTAACATTACGGAGTTGCTGTAGAAACTTTACTGGTCACAGTCCTTGCCGGCACATTTATGGCCAACGCCGATGACGCTTTGTCATAACAAATTAATGAGGCAACAATTAAAATGCCGTCTTTGACGAATGTGCAGTCTACTATTTAACCCTTACTGTGCAGAACCTGCAAAAATAAGGGGCATGTCAGCTTACTGACTTTTCAGGACCTTTTCATGTCTTAACAAAAGTAACATAGACAACTGGTCTTCTGTGCACTTACATAAGCGTATAAATGTCTGCTTTACTTGAGTCTTACACCACACGTACATTGATATTTTCTTAGAGAAAAGAAAGATAATTTGCTTAAGCAAAACAGCGAACTTAGTGGTCTATAAAAACGAGGTTTCTCAAACGGTGCCATCCAGAAGCACATCAGTTCACGAAAACGAATATGAAAAAAAGTCTGTTCCGAAAATTGTCCATCGTAGAATCAACGATTTTGAATAGGTTGCTACCTCTAATAGGATTCAACGGAAACCCAGCTGATATATTTAAATGTCGACTCAGCTAATACCCACCAGACGTATTGGAGTCACTTTCGCCGAAGGGACAAATGAAACCTCGTCTTTTCTCATCATTCAGGATTTTGAGCACAAATACTAGCATGATTACAATGCAAACTTAGCGGTCAAACATAGAAACAAATGATTGGTCGACCACATGAACACCTGTTGACATGTGTTTTGAGTTAAGAAGAAAATACCGCTCTAGCTTCATTATGAGGTGATTTCTGGGCAGTCGATATCCCACAAACCCAAAAGTACCATTTCAAACGCGGATTGGGCGCAAACCACTGGGGCAAAACGCTGCTTGATGACAGCTTACAAACGCATGGGAAACATATAAAGTGTGGACTCAGCTACAACCCTCGGAAAATCTAGTCTTGTTCTCGAAATCTTTGCTAATTTAAATTGTACATCTGTCTTTGGCGTTGCTCAGAGATAAAGATTTCGGTCACTTCGGACTCAATCGATCTAATCGCTCGACTGGTTGTCAACAATGCCTTCATCGTCCACAGAATTTTGTTTTGATGATTGTGCAAGAGTTGCGGACGGGAAGTGGGGATTAAGGAACTGGCCGATCAGCGCAATTACAGTAGGTGGCCTATCTCATGAAATATCAGTTGAAATTCCGAAATTCGACTTCATTTTGAAAAACAAATTAATTTGGTAGGGGTGCGAAATGAATCGTCATGCGGAATATTTCTGTAATAAAGCTACCTAAAGATACTGGCTTTTGAACGGACGTCTTTCCAGCGGCATGCAAAAACTATACTCTGTAAAAAATGACTACTTATGTAGGATGCACGTTTCTCAGTGAGTTACGCTGCCCTTATAAATTCAATCAGATTACATGGAAAACATGAATAAACGTATTCATTCTTTTGCTGATTTGGTAGAAAATATCGTCTTCTTCCAATTTTTATTCTTAAAGAAAGACCTTAATTTGGTTTTCGAAAACCTTTCCAATTCTCGAATAATTTTTAACCCGACCTGCCGTTGCACTTTCATTCGGGATTTTCAGACTACATGCCGCATATTTTCCGCGTTTTTTCCATGAAATGCATTAAATTCATAAGAGCATAGAAAATCAGTGTGACAAATGCATGTTAATTAAGTGGTCATTTTACAAAGTATAGGTTTTTATGCAGCCGAATGGACGTTCATTCAAAATCCGGGATCTCAAGGTAACTAAGCCAGCAAGGAATTATGCTGCACGATGATTCGTTTTACAACCCTACTTAATTAATATTTTCGATGTAAAAACGCGTTTCAGAATGTCAGTTGACATTTTATTAGTTAGTCTACGTACAGTATTTATTTGTTGACCCTTTTCTGCTTGTACAGGAGTGCACCCTCAGAGATAAATTGAGCGGCAAGTCGGGCAACAATTATAAGCGGTAGATTCCAAACCTCAGTGTGGAGTTCTTTGGACAGGTCTCTCTATGCCAGTGCCGCATGGACACATTATTTGAACGAGTTCTCATGTGAGACTCAGGCTATAACTAATTCTCGGCTTGTCTTTTGGCGGCGTGTGCTGCTGACTGCGATCTTTACTTCCTGATCTGTTTTTAAAGTTTGGACAATTAGTTGTGCAAATTTGTCAGCCTGTCACACAATCAGTCTATTTTACCGCATACGGCATCCTAACATGCGTTCGGCCCGACCTATGTAATTGCACGGACAATGTAGGCACGGAAAACAATACACTAAACGCGAATTTTTACTGATACTTTATCTATCGTGCTGTGGATATTTCAGAGTGCTACCGACAGATATACGAATGAAGTCTTTATGGCGATCACCTGAAAACATAGTTACTTTTGTAACTCTTTAAATGTGCCCGCATTTGCGGAACGTAGCAAACTGATCGCAAATCACCAAACGGTATCAGATCAAATCAATGAATGCATTATTAAAGGCTTTAGGCAACTAAAAACGCAAAAGGAATAATGAAATTAGTATTAAGTTACTTAGAAAAAAACCATATTTTTGGAAAACTAGAAAAGCGAAAATTACTGTGACTGAATAAATGAAAGTTTTGAGGTCCACAGGAAGTCAGTCTATGCAGACAAACGAGCAAAGAAGACACCATAATTTGAAACACTTTTGCAGAAATTCCCTTAGTGGTTTTTTTTGTGTATTCTTCCGAGTTAAGTGGGATTACAAGTATGGTTGTCAGCAAACAGCCTGCAGCTCGAGTAAAGTTTCCGAAAATATGTTTCGTTTACATATTGTTTAAGATTTAACTGGATAAATTAGGCGGGAATTCTCTGGGGACTGCCGATAAAGAAGTCACGGGAATAAATATTTTTACAATGCCACGTTTTGAGAAGCCGGCGAGTAACTACTGCATTTGTACAGAACTAGATGATGCAATCCTAAATATAACATTTGTAGAATGCATTTTCTGCCGTTTAATTTTTCACAGGTTTTTTGCTGAATATTTCATAACATTTAATGTTTCCAGTCGACTGCTCATTAGGACAGATTTTTTGAACACTTTGTCTTTACTGAAAGTACTAACCAAAAAATGAGTAGTTAGACATTTTGCCTAATACAAACTATCAGTAAAATGATATTTTTCAGATCATCTAAACAGAAAACATAATCGCCAAGAAAAAATGAATGCGCGCAGAATGAACAAGCGCTAATTACCTTTTAGATCAATTGACGAATATGGTGAAATTTCTACAACATAAACCACTTTCTCACCAAACTGGAGCCGACTTTGCTAACATGGCCTGTTTTACGGTTTCATTGTACCATTGTAAATCATAAGAGGGTAACTTTACAGATGCAGTATATTACGAAACCTGGTAGTCTTTGATCGTTCGGTTTCCTATTTATGAAACGGCAGAGGCCAGACCATCTGAAATGAGTAACGCGGAATGATCAAATTCCACAAAGCCATTTCGTGCAGGGCGTCTTTCGCGGCAAATGACTAAATATTCGCAGACAACAGGCAGGTGTTGGGCCACGAAGAAAAAGACTGCCTGTAGACGTTTTTACTGCTTCTTAGGGCAAGAAATGACATAGGTTTGAAAACCCGACTTTTCAAAATCGATCAGACGTCTGGTTTTTTAAAGCAAACCTTCTGCTCGGACCTCGATCCATCTGATTTGAGTGACAAAAAGCCAACTTTAAGCGTGCCAAGTTCAGTTTGGTAAGACACTCGAGTTTAGCTTACTCGCCTATAGTGGAAAAACAACAAACAAGAATGTGCCCACTTATTTTAGAACAGCTTTTAGTCCGCAAAACTGCCTGAATGGAAATTTACGTAAATTGCAGTTAATATTTTCAGATATTTTTCGTTGAATGGTATATATACAACCAAAATCTGCGTTCACGGAAGGTATATTTTGGGATAGACTAGACGACTAAATAAAATGTGTGGTATTTTAGTATCTACGCCTGATCACCGCAGTGTATGTCATCACGATTTAGGAGTGTGGTAACATACCGTACTTCTTATCTGAACATACTAATGGTAAAACTACATATTTTAAATATTGTAAAATGCATTTTAGTCCTAAATACTATGCGCAGATGCGTAACATTTTCTCAACGTCGGAAGGCTGAACAGAGTTTGCTAGTGAGGGGGAGAAGGAGTGAGAGAAATAATCTCGGGAAATCCAATTCCACTTAAATGGTGTACGTTTTAAAATTCGACTGGACTATGCTACATAGCAACCTCTTCCTCCCAGACCGGAACTTTGTGCTGGCAGATCAGAATTTATCAAACCGCTGTTTTGGCATTTGGTCGATGTTTGGCGTGCTTTACAAGCCGTATGAAAGTCCATAGATCAGTGTTTATGCTGATGGGGATGAATAGTTCTGCATATCATTCTACGCAGTCTTAAATGGTCACTCCCTCACGGACAGCATTAGGATAGAGTTTTCGTTCGGTTTTACCGACGTAGTTGCAATACCAATCATGGAAATGTATTCTACAGGCAAATGCAGAGTTACGGTCAGTCCTTGGGTTAAATTAAACGGTGGCAAATTACCGCCTGCGCTCAATGATCTCTGTCTACGCTGACGTGTGGTTTCCGCCCAGAAACGGCGTTGGAGACTGTCTTAATAAGATGAATGTCTATCTAACTTCCTCACTCCTGCTCCTTTTCTCGGCGCTGGCTATGCCAAAACAGTCACTGAATATCCCCTGGTTCTTAAAAATTTATGAAGGTGGGGTCACTTAGTCTCCGGGCGTCCCGCAGTATGTTACATCATTTGTGGTGCAGACAAAGGGCAAAATTGATCTCCAAAGTCCTCTTTCGTAGTTAATTTGCATTTTCACAATCACAACTTTTTGTGCTTCGGAAGCATTTATTCGAATAGGCTCTACATCATAAACGTCCGTTTAATTAGAGGAGAACATTTACAAAGCAAACATATAATGCTTTAGCCCGTGTACTTCCACACTCGGTGCTGAGACTTTGCCTTGGCGGAGTCATTAACCACACGGTGAGCGCACAGGTGAACACTCTTCTTAACGCCAGGATCGGTGATTCAGTTGGTCGAGCAATCATTACACCAACATCCAACACACGTGATGAAAGTATAGCAATTACCGGCGCGAATGTCGGCCATCAAAAAGGCATCACATTAAGTACAACGATCCCTGGTGAATGGGGCGGGAGCCACGGTGGCATGGCGACAGCATTCTATAAATACTGCAGCCGCTTGTGCGTGAGCCACCCTTATATGCTTTCGTCTCAGATGATGGGTTCGAGGAGGAATCCAAAACGTCAGGCTAATAAAGCTCTTGTTCCACCGACCGTGTCTCCTCCTTTACGAGTGCTTCCTGGGACTCGTCCTTTCTCACCGACAACGGTTAAAAGTAACTGCAAATCAGTCGATTTCTTCAAGTTAAACATATCTTCTTTTTCTTATGATCTGTTTTGTTGCAAAGTGACTCGTTTAAATGCCAGTTATTAAGTGCCGTTTTGGCAGGGACAGATTTCAGACGCACCATGCTTCAAATGACCTGAAATATTTAGTAGTCAGAAGACAAAGTGGCGAGCGAACGTTGTTTTCGATAACTTCTCGTCAGGCCAGAACGGTTATATAGGACGGGGTAAAGTGCGGGAAAGAATCAATGAAAGTTCGTTTTTAAAATACAGGCTAGGCAAGAACGAAAGGACTCTGAAAGTTGTATGCTGTTCGTCCACCTTTCATTACGGTAAGCGCGGAGCTTGAACGAGGTTCTTCTGGGCGAATTGCGTCGGTTTTCCTAACCTGATGGCAGCAGCTTCTGTTGTTGTTAACAGGCGCTGGCCCAGTAGCTTAGGGTAACACGAGGAGACCTAATAAATCATACCAAATGCCTCAGCTGGTCTACACAATGTCCTGAATCCATTGCATGCGCACGGATGGCGCTGTCTGTGCTCCTAGTTTCACCTTTTGCCATCCATGCGGGAAGGTGTCCTCGTATTCTTTTGAAAAGGCACGGACTCGTACGTCCTTTAAAGAATGGCCAGAGATCTTCAGTTTATTTAATGGAAGAAGGCTTTAAATAAGGCTTATTTTTGCAAACGTTCTAAAACTGCTCATATACATTGCATAAAGACATTTTTTGTTAAAATAAAGTGGCTGCGCAGAACGAACTATACTATCATAAATAAAGGGGATAGAATGTCATAAGCATCCTGTTTGCCTGCAGTCGTTTTAGTTAGATAATTTTGAACTTCGTCATACACATGCTATCTGAAGGGAATTAAATTTGTCATCATAATATTTTACTAAGGAAAATGGCTTTGAGGAATAACTTAATGAAATCAAAACAAGTGAAGTTTTAAACGCCAAAACCCTACTACACTCGTTATTGACCCTTCATGGATTTCAAAATTTCATGTTGTTTTAGTGGTCTGAATTTCATCTCCTCTTCTACTCATACCTGGGGGATGCGGTCTTGCATACAGTCGTACGCAGGTCAACCTTTGGCGGAAACAATTGATAGACTGCGTAAAGAACACCATATTTTGGTCAGCCAGAGCCTTCAATCGAATGATTCTAAACGCCAAATCTTTACTGTTGAAGTACTGTAAATATGGAGAGTCCACCATTTTCAGTACGCTTTTGCAGTAGGATCTGTAAGCTAGACGTTAAGCTAAATGTTTTGTCAGTCATCAATTACAACTGCTATTTGCATGATAAGAGTCTTGTTACGGAGTTTCTGAAAGAACATACTAGAACGTGCTCCCTAAGAAATCAGATATCATAATACAACTAATTATTGTGGGACAGGCTTTATAACCCTTTTCTTAAACACGTGGCACACAATTCGTGTGCGTGTTTGGTGCTCTAGGCGTGCCACACTGGGAAGAGAGGAGCCTTTAGGATATTTAGCCCATTGACTGTAGCTTATAAAAATTAAAAAACAAGGATTATGACGACGTCCCGTATTCGATACCAAGAATAAACAGTATATTTAACTTATTTTTAAGGTGAGCCGATATTTTTGAAATCCATGGTATCGTCATATCACCACTGCAAATTACGACAAAACACATTTTAATCCGGAAAAGAGCATGTATGCAGGACACTTGGCGTGAGGCTGACCAGTTTGGAGATTGAGAAGCAGAAAGCCAATCTACCGTAGATTTTATGTTCAGACGGCTAGTTATCCAATCAAGGAACTTTAATATGATTGATTAATTTTAATGAATTGGCAATAAGTATAAATTCTGTCCTCCTTGTGTTTGTTTATAAGGTTTTATTTGTCCTGAGTGTAAGGGCTTCTGCAAGACATAAACATCGACAAAACATAAGCCACCAAGAAATGGTTTTGTACTCCTTTTTACGACCAAAATCGAACGCGCGACCTATGAGGGCAGGTGTGGCTTGTCGTTTGTCTTTGTTAGCTTACTCAAAATTCAATCTTCAGACTTAATGTAAACCTATCCTTTTGTTATGGCGATTCAGTAAGTATTGGGTAAAGCTGCAGAAGTCTGTTGTCTAAGCCCCTATCATCTAACCTTCAGCTCGATAATTCCAATGAGGACATCCCATGTTCCATAATCCCGAATCCTCTCCATGTTTACAAAAATGGCAACCATACCCTATGTTCGTCTACCCGCAGGAAAGTGTCTGATAAAATATTATACGGGACCTTTGCATGTCAAACTAATCTTCTACCGCTAGCCGAATAATATGATTGGACTTCATGTCAAGAGTGTAAAAGTCTTCCGTTTTGTGGGGAAAGGTGAATGCAGTTTCCAGCATGACTAATAAATGCGAAATTGAAAATATCAGCGTAAAAAGTGGGAATGTCATTAATTTTTAACGCGTTATTTTTTCATTTAAAGGCGATTGCAGTCTACTCAAGTTGGTCTAAACAGTTAAAGGTTAATCGTATCAATTTGATTCGGGACATGACCCTACTAACGTACAGGCTTTCTTGCCAACGCTGTCAGAAGGCCTACAAGCCAGAGCATACTGTTAATCGACCCAGAATGTCAACAACGGAAGATATGAATAATTAGAACCTTTCTGCTTTCTATAAAAGACTACGTGAAACTTGCATTAAAACATGACTAATAGTGATATTCTAGGGGGCTTCAGGGTCGAGAACATGATATAAAATCGATTATTTTCGAAATTATACCTACTGCGTTCTTTGGAATAAAACCTAAGAAAGGACCACAATGGTGCAGGTGGTTGTTATTTCATAAACATTACAATAAGGGCCTTTGTCCCCACAATCCCAAACAATAAATGATTAGAAAGGTTTATAATAACTGTGTGTTCCTACTGCTTAAATCCACCAGGTCTTGCATACTTTCTTTCACCTTTTAGATAACAAGTAAAACGGCTGAAAATTCTAAACGCTGCCTAACGAACTGCCTTGGAAATGCGGACAAGAACGCCGACAGGTCGAAATGTTACAGAAGGCTGGTTCTTGCAGTGGTGGCAGTTGCAATCTTTCTAGACAACGTGCTTCTCAGTTCTGTAGGTAAGAAACCTTCTTCCACTTTTACGTGATAACTTTAGCCTATGTCTCCTGTGGGACAAACCATAAAGGCTAAAGCACATCGTGTTAGGGCGGACATCGTGTTGCTTGTTTTTTTCCTGTGAATATCAGGCGATCACACTTGTAGCTCGAAACAAAACTTCCAGCCGTCAGCTACTGGCCAGATTGAGCCTACACCGTAAAAGAGTCACAGACATGTTGCGTTCGAGCACAACGCAAATCAGCTTTTTAAGGCAATCATTTTTGTACTGTGATGATTCTTTTTGAGTCCTCGACTTACAGTCATTGACCGATCGGTAAGATGATAGTTGGTAGCCGTGGCCACAGACTCCACAACGGTACCCACTGGCTCGATTTCAGTAACTGTGATTGCGTTCGCATTATGCTTCTTAATTCACGCGCGCGCTGTATTACCTGTATCAGATTCATTTTAGAGGTGCTATCCTGGGCAGATTTGCACCGGTAACGATGACAATGAGGCTTATCCCATATCAACTTTCATTAGAAGAGGTAGTTGGCAGGCGTGCCCACAGAATCCACAATTGTACCTACTGGCTTAATTTCAGTAGCTATGATTACATTCCCATTATGCTTCTAAATTTACGCGCGCGCTGTATTACCTATACCAGATTCATTGTGGAGGTACTATCCTGGACGGATTGGCACCGGTAACGATGACAATAAGGCTTTCCCTACATCGACTTGCATAAGAAGAGGTAGCTTTTGACTGCCTCATTCATTGTAGAGGTACTATCTTGGGCGGATTGGCACCGGTAACGATGACAATGAGGCTTATCCTTTATCAACTTTCCTTAGCAGAGGTAGCTTTCGACTGCCTCATTATTTACGGATTTTCTCTTCCGCCAAAACCAATTTTTCGCATAAAAGTCTTACCTTGCTTGCTTTGTGGCGTCCCGCGTGCCGCTGCTTGACTCTCATGTTCTTCTGTCCATTATGTTGGATGGAGTTCTATCGAACATACTGCGGAATGACCTTCGGACCAGTTGCCATCTTCCATTGATTGTTCGCCTTCACTTGCTTTTCTTTCCAATCTGAGGCTAGGATGCATTTATTCCGCACACCGTTCAAAGTCTCCTTGCTCATTTCCATACCTTCCTTGTATTTTTCACCTAATCTAAATTAGGCTTCCACTTTACCTGTAGCGTCAATTCCTAGCATATACTACAATCGCCATTTACCCGTCCACTCAATTGTCCACACCCGTATAGCCCCTATTACCACCGGTCCCGATTGACAGGCAGCTGGGAGTTTGCGGTGTCAGGAGGGATACCAAGTATCATCTAACCAACTACTATGCATGTTTTTATATTGATTTTAGATGCCTTCATAAATTTTACCTAATTTTGTAAATATGTGGACAAAAACGCCCTTTTCATCCTTATTTGGTAGTTCGTCAGTGTTTCGCGGATTTTATACTCTTAACAAGTGTCATTCTGTTTCGAAAATTTTAAATTATGCGATTTTATAAGATCGTATAACGTCAACCCGACTAAAATCGCATATGTATGTTTAATAATGCGTCTTAGTGTGTTTACGACATAGTCCGAATTCCTTGAAACTCTTTTTAATGTTAACGTACATGAGAATGTATTTTTCTTTACACTAAAACTAGGCAGTATCTTGACCGAAAACCCTAAACGAAAACGCATAATAAAGTCGAGTCCAGAGTCATGCGCGCATTGTAAAATCTTTCTCCGAACCAAAATACCCTTTTTCGAGTATACACTTTGGGGGTGACGTGGTTTCCAACCAGACAAACACGGGCATTAATTTTTGGACAGATATTTACGCAGAATATATTCAAGTCTACAAGGGCAATAGCAGAGACAATGCATACGTTTAATTGATCATTTTTAACTAATTTGGCTTTTAAACCTGACCGAGCAGATTGCATCCAAAAAACCAACATCCTGACGTGTTCAAAATATTGTTCGATGATGTCGCACGATACCCACGATTGCAGTCCTAATTAAGGAATCGCTGAGAACAGAAAACGCATTGCACACAGTTTCGGTTAACAGTTTATGACATGGGTCACTGGCTGTAAGCTATGCACGTTTGTGGAAATACCATAGGCAGATGCTTACGTCACACCAGTTACTGCGCACAACTTTATCCTTAGTCTGCTTATCTCGAGTGCAACAACGGTGCCCAAAAGAAGGGAGATAGTGCAAAATAGGTTTCAGATACATAATAATATGCACTCGCTTGACCAAGACGTTTTTCAAATTGACGTTTCGCATTTTCGTTCGAACTTGTCGAAAGTGATGTGGTCGACAAGACAAAGATTCCAAATCAAAAGTCAGGGAAGACGGAGTGAGTTGGACAACCTTGACTGTTTTGGAGGTGCGTATACTAAGGCTCTGTGGGCAGTCGCCGTGAGCGCGCTCTCCAGGCAAGTTGTTATCTGTGTCCGCCTTCGGGGTGCTCAGACCCAGCGCGTGTGTGCGCCTTTCGTTATATCCGCATCCGCCAGCCAATCAGAAGGGGGACAGCGTTGATTGGCCTGTAGCACTCGCGAGGTTAGTGACAAGCCTCGCGCGTCCCAGCAGCATACCGACAAGGAGTGGGAGGCGGACAGGAAAGCAGCATGGTGAGGCGGAGGGCAAGCAGACGCGATCTGCCACAAACTCATCAGCAGAGACGGTCGCCAATAAGTGTGATGGAGGTGCAATGAGCTCAGTCCTTGTTAGACGGAAAGGGGGGAAAATGCAAGAGAGGTCGGTCTCACGTAAAACGAAAAAAGATGCGATCGCTAGAACTAGGAGATTGTCGGCGTAACATTTCGAATTCTTACTCGACATCTTCCTCACATGCAGTTGCCGATAAGGGTAATGGAGAGACAATGGGCTCAGTCTTCAATAGAATGAAACTGACACAGCCATTTGCCTAAAATACTTAGCAGCACGTGAACCCACCGCCCGAGTACATATCTGATGTGGCGATTGCTTGTTAGTCCGCACCCGAGCCTGAAGGTCGTCTAGAGGAGGAACTTCAGGAGTTGAAGGAGACGAATCTCTTTCTCACCAACTTTGCTTTGCATAAGTAGTTAGATGGTCTCAATCGTCGAATCCTGAAGGATATATGCAGCAGGTTACATGGCATTAAAATGCCATGAAATCATTTAGCTAGAGACATATCTTTGTAAGCTTCTCCAAGCATTGTGTTACCAGGCTTGCTTTGGTCAGAAAATTAAGATATCAGCCTGGCGTTTGTAAGTCGGAGTGTCTTACGTGATGCTATGGGTCGAAGAGAAGAGTTGTCTCTGTGTGTACGATGGCAGGTCCACCAGAAGGCCATTTATTATGCACTCATGGTTTGTTGATCGCTGTATTGCATCTTAAAACTGCACTTCGAAGAACTTCAAATTCAATTCGCAAGCCAGCGTTTTTTATGACAATGGATTTACATGCGACATGGCACTGACAATGATCAAATAAGCGTTCAGCTTTTCTATAGATGCCTGTACGACAGTTTAACACCTACTGTTCGTGCACCCGACAACGAAATCTTTGTTCACACCTGGGATGAACGCGTGTGCTACTGACCATTGTAGACATGCGGTTCCATGTATTCTGCGTCCCTTATGCCTCCATTACTTTGTCGGCACATGCCACCCATGTCCGGTTAAAATGAGGACCCGTAACGCCAAGCTCATTAACTTCCAGTCTCAGCGGTATATCATCTGCTTCTAAATTACTTCTTGGATAACGTATATTGGCTTATATCGGCGTTCTAATTATATTAATACTGTATATTAACTGTACTTGGTCTCTAAGGCAGCCAAGATCTTATCTGTCCTTTATGTCATCGCTCATGGCATTTCCCAGACGGATAGTCAGCAGGCTTAAGTCAGTCTGCTTAAAATATTACCGGTTTTCATTTAACTGTAAGCCAGCGTAATAGGAATAATATCGCAGCTTACGTATCGGTCCGATGGGCATCTGAGTTTTAGGCCAGGACTTTCACAGCGAATGGGATCTTGCCTCCTGAGCCAGTCCAACAGCTTAATGCTTATCACGTTTCGGCTGTCTTATCAGTTTCATCTCCCAAAGAATATCGAGGACGCGGATTCATTTTCTGGTTCTTTGAGTTCCTTTCGCAGATGACCAACCTGTTTCCGATCCGCGGAGATTCTCTCTCAAGGGAACCTCGATCACCAGCATAAATGCCATTGTTGTAAATTTGGCAGGTGTTGAATCACAGGTCATGGGAGAGAGCAGAACCGTCAAAAGCAGGAAATGTGCAGCGCAGAAGGTCACCATTGCTATTGTACTCGTTTTAGACGGGCCATTAAATTTTTGTGCGATCCCTGACAGTTGCGATATCAAGTATAAGAGCACTGTCACAGTACAATTTTCCTGCGGCAAACCACCGATAAGGCAAACAAAAGTAATATCGTCACTTGTTGCCGGAAACGAACTTGAAATATAAATCCGTCCCTGAGTAGCTACATTGCAATCAGATCAGTTTAATTAGAAAAATCAGAAAATGGCGTGAAATTTGATAGGTCTCGATAAACTTAGCTAAGTATTAATGAGACTATTAAGTAACTTCAGGGAGCAGCAGTAAGGTTTATAAATCGGGTATTTAGATGCTCCACTGAAACCGTTAGGAGATGCGTTATCCATGGTAAAATGCTGTGTTTAACATCTTAAGTTCACTAATCGGTTTGGTGATTCTGAAAAAAGGGAAAATAAACCTGCCGCGTTAAATCCGCATGCTAATGGAACACCAAAGTAAATGTTGCTGTTACTAAATCTTGGAATAAATTGTTTATTTAACAGATATATTTTGAGCAAGGGGAAGTTGTAGCCTAGTTGTCTTAAGAACTGTTTCTGACAACGGTCTTTAAGCAATTGGTAGATATTTTCCACTGTATTCAAATATCATCAGCTCACAGTATTTTGAGTAATGTGTAAAGGACAACATTAGAAAAGACATTTGAACAAAACAGCTTGTATGATTGCAACCAGTTTGTGTTCTGATGGCTTCCTCCCACAAAAAATATGCCGAGCAAAACAAAATAGCTAACGTTCCCTTTTTTTAAAATCTGCTATTATCTAGCAGAGAAACAAGTATTAGTTAAAATAGGTGAAATTATGAGGACGAATATCATCGCATGTAACTTTGTTCGTAAAATAATTTCGTCACTAGAGCTCACTCTTCTAGACCAGATGTTTCGAGATAGACCGAAACGTCCTTTAAGCGTTCTGAGGGGATTGCAGCCAGTTTAGAGATAAAAACAAAATATAAGTTTAAACATGCATTGTGAACGCTGTTCGACCCACTACAGAGGTGAGACCATCAGAGTTATGTTGAACAGTCAGATACAACTATCTAAATAACCCAGACACCTTACTACTACCTATATTGTCATGATGATGCAATCGCTCTCCTTCAAGAATTTCGAACATTTTTGTATACGAATAAATTGCCTCTGCCCCTCTAAATTGTAGCCTCAGCCATATCTGTCGTTTGGTCCGACCACAATAAATAATCACCGGAGCATTATCTTGCATACTAGCAAATATCTGAGATGAAAGTCCCTAAACATAATAACTCTAAGTAATCAGACGCCATATAGTGAGCCGTGTGTGGTGCAGCCGGAGAGAAAATTCTACACCTAATTCCTCTTTCATCAGATTCGATACAGAAAATAAAGCAGCCTCCACGGCTATGGTACACACTCGTGTGTGCGTGTGCTACAAGAAACTGGGCCAGGTGATTTCTCCGGCTACTGTGTCAGTCAGTTTAAATTTTCGTATTGATTTGCAATGTATATGTAGCTTCAAATGGCGTAAAGGTATGGTTTGTGTTTTGGGTTACTTACTCGGGACAGCAAATACGTTAAAGGAGAATAACTAACGGTATTTATTTGTGCATACAAAGAAAGGAAACAAAAAGACCTCGCGGTGGCTGCTGATTGATGGTGGCCGAGATGCTTTAAGGTAAACATCTGAGTGCAAATAGTACAATGCGATACATATTTGTCAGTTCCTCAAATGAAAAATCAAATTCATTTACTATTATTATTAAATGGCAAATAACGGTTTTCCCTTTCAATTGATGGCAATAAGGACGATTCAAATTTGTGTTAACGAACGCTTCTTAAATGTCAAGCTATTTTGCTCATTACACATGCTCCGCAAAATGAGTATCCACGGACATAAAGCACATCTCATTTTTAATAGGCTGCCTGTTGCGGTTAGGTCTTTTTGTTTAAATTACCAACTCGGATTTTTCAGTGTTGCCAACCTGAATATTCATGTGTGCACAAGGAAGTTAATTTTTTTATCGATCCTTCTCCTACAGTTCCCATTGTGCCGGATGTCTTGATGACATTCAAGACTAAAACTGCAGTAAAATCATTGTTGGAACACAGCGGTAACAATTGCACCTCCGACGCACCCGTAGTTGACCTCGTGGTGGACGCCATGGAGTCCTTGACCCCTCTCTCCTCCTCTACACAGACACAGCCGACTCTGTCGGAAAGTGATTTTCTCGATCCGACAGTGGCCACTGAGCAGGAGCGACGCGAGGTTGTACATGCGTTGCAAAAGCTAAAGACCTTGGCTAAGGACTGCAACATCAATACCACAGCGATTGCTGGGGTGGTACGAGAAACGCGCATGGACGGGGAGAACCTTGCAGTGGGGATACTGTTTGCGTCAAAGCCACTTGTACAGCTAATTGTCAATCCGATGATCGGACCGTTGACCAATAAGTGAGTTGCCCCCACCTCACAAAATCAGCACATCAGTGGCACGATGCCTATTTATTTGCAGTGGTATTAGTAGCAACGGTTTCTTTAAGCATCTTCTCATCGCGCTATAGGATGAACATACGGTGAGCCGCGAACTACTAGAATACAAGAGCAGATTTTAAAATGCAGTTTGAGACACGGTCACTGAATTTGCCAATTACGACCTCGGATTTTTCACTTCGATAAAGTGGAGATAACATACACTGAGTGGCTGATCTCATGAAATATGGCCTGAAATTCTGAAATATATTTTCGATCAGAAAAAATTATTTAGGGAAGGGTCTTATATGGATTATCAAGCAGCGTAGTCATATAAACTTTCGGATCTCCCAGAAGTTGGCCTTTAAATGCATTTCTACGCAACGTTCTGCAGGAACCGCACTCGATAAAAATGGCTACTTAAGCGGCATGCGTTTCTCACATTGATTTTGATGTTTTTATGAATTCGAATATATTTTCTAAATAACATGCAAACATATGCCTCTTTCTACTCTGCTTGTAAAAAATCGCGTAGTTTTTGAATTGTATACACTAGAAAGATGTGCATTAAAGTTTTGAAAGCTTTTCTAATTCCCAAGTACAGTGCGTGACAGATCTCATAAAATGTTGGCCAAAATTCTAAAATTGCGTTTTCGATTTGATAGGATTAATAAAGTGGCGTTGTAACATTAACATGCAGCATAATCCTATGGACTTTCGGACTCGTCAAAATGTTATCTTTTGAATGCATTTCTTTCTGACCTCCCACTGAAACCTTATTAGGTAAAAATGACTACTTGTTTAGCATTATTTTTCATACTGATTTCGGTGGTCGTGCAAATTCAAATTTATTTTATAGAAAAATGCTAAACAAGTAGTCATTTTTACCTAATAAGGTTTCAGTGGGGGGTCAGAAAGAAATGCATTCAAAAGATAACATTTTGACGAGTCCGAAAGTCCATAGGATTATGCTGCATGTTAATGTCACAACGTCACCTTATTAATCCTATCAAATCGAAAACGGAATTTAAGAATTTTGGCCAAAATTTCATGAGATCGGTCACGCACTGTAAGTATGAGCTTGACCAATCATTGTACCAGCGTTTAGCGATTTCGGTCTGCAAGGTGCAGGTCTGCTGCCTAAATAAAATCCTATATTCTTATTTGCTTTTATGAAGATATCATATAGAGCTTACAAACGTTTTGCAATGGATGCGGACTGTGTCGTACGATTTATGAGAAGCATTCGTAAGCGGACAAGTACAATTCAGTATGAATGGACATTGTACAGTTTACAAAATCTCATAATTATAAACTTTTCAAAATCCATATTCATCCCTTCTCGTGGTATAAAATGTGCAAACTATATGATTTTCTACCAGCTGAGAGAAGAAGGCATACATGTGCAAGTTTCCCATAAAATCCATCTCATTTTATATTATCAAAAATCAATGCGAAAAACTCCTGCTAATTATGCAGCCATTTTTACCGTGTGTAATTCCTACAGAAGGTCGCAGAGAAGTGCATTATTACCATTCTGAGAAGTACGGAATACTATATGACTACTTTGCACGATAATTCATTTTAGAACCCTATGTAAGTGTTCCTTCCTTATCAAGAACTTACTCAAGAACTGAAGCCAAAATTTCATGAAACTGTTCACTCACTGTAGGCGTGGACAAACTCAAGGTCTCAGTTAGTTACAATCGGTTGTTAGACATAGGTTATCATATGCTCCCTATATCAGAAATCGTTTTTAAATTGGTTAAGCGGAATTGGTATTTGGACGTTGCATATATGCACTAAAATAAAAGTTTGGGTTTTTTGAAGACGCTTGCATATTATAAAGATTTCCAAGGCTTATATGGGCAAATATAACGCCTAATATACGCTTGCTGGTTTGTGCCACTTTACAGTGTTCACTGCTATACATATTGGTTATAATAATTTGAAAATGAAAAAGGACTCACTCAATGAGGATAAAGGGCAGCAATGTGAAAGTGATATTTGCCGATCTCCGCCGATAACGTTTAGGAATATCGGCGAATGTGTCAAACTTTCGATTTAAAATTCCGCAATTCAGGCAGATGTTTGCACATTGGCCATTATAATAGACACTGGTAAAGAAAACTCCATCGGAACGATCATTTCTGTCTGTGATTCTGGCTCTAGACAGTCGATTCTAAGCCGAGCCACCACGCCTAAAATGCCTATTTAAGACGGTTTTCATTAGTTATTTTTAAGTTGAATAGTATCCTGGCTGCATTACAAGCCCCCGTCATATCACCTAGATAGACCAGCGCATCCCAGTCTCTATTTAACCGTTCATATTCCTGGTCAGAGGCGACATGTCAGGAATTAATTTGGAATTGGTGAAGCCATTTCTTCTTTGTCTTTTAGACATTTAACTAAACAACAAATAGGTTTGGCATACTTTGTCGACCACTTCAGGTTGACTGTTGATTTATAAAATTGCTAAGTCCCGCAGACACTGTCCGTGGAGGTCAATATCTTTCTATCGTATGTTAAACAAGGTATTTTCCGCAAGTATGGACCAAAAGTGTCACTACGAAACAAACTTAGGAAATAGTGGGCAAATTCGCTTTTCTCATCAAGAGCGTGGTTTATGGATGTTTACAGTTAGTCAGAAAACTTGTCCATTTTACAGCAAACTGCTTTGTTATCGGTGGATTCACAGTGGAGAACTTGAGAAGGTTTGGCAGCGTTTGATGAAACAATATTTTTATTCCCCTAACTGTTGGAATCCGCACTCTAATCCAACATCAGAGAAAATAAGACAGAAGACTAATGGACCTGCCTGAGGTGCACTATCTACGAGATGGATTTATTAATCAATCACATTCATATTCATGTTAGGAGCTACCTGATTCATCGAGCATGAACGATATAATAGGCCTCCAGCAGAGGCCAGTTACCCTATCTCTTCATCGCTGATATTCATTGGCTGCATCACTACTTTTTGATGTTGTTTGCCTGTGCCCCCCCCCTTTCCGCAACCCGAGTTCTCAGCTTAGCCTAGTGTTATGCCATGTAGCTTATGATATTAGGTGTCTACAGTTTTATAAGCGTGTGCTATGCCAGTATTAGCAAATCATGATAATTGCAGCCTGGTATGCGCTAGCATTTCCCTGATACCTGGTTCCCTGTCGGTAGATGTGCTTGCGCTCCCGCTGGGCATACAGGTGGTGGGCATGGCTGCACACTCATCGTCATCGTCCTGACCCCTGTTAGGGCGTTGTTGTTGATTTTGTTGTCGAAAAATGCTGACTATTTGCTGTGTGAACAAGGGGGTATGGTGGAACGCCAAGGTGCCGCTCCAGCCGTGCCAGTCATCCGTGTCCTCCCCCCCTCTCCGGTTTTCTTGACTCTGTCTTGCCCCTGGGTCCAGATGGGGAGTGGGTAACAGAGATTGTGGTAGATTCTGCCACTTCCTCTATGCATACATAGGCTCGCCCGTAGAACCTCTATTTCCACTTTTCCCGTAAGATGGGCACCTTTGATTGGTCGTGATTGTTGGGGTCCTTCACCCGATCATTGCCACCTGAGTGAGTGTTGAGACACAGACATAACGGTCTAACGCATCTGCATTTCAGGCAGCTTAACTCGTTACCTTTGAAAATCATTACCTGCCTTCTTTCCAAATACTGTCCAAAGGCTTCATGTCTCAGCACGCAATAATCTTTTAATCAGGCGAGAACACCAGTGAGCAGTATCCGATTGTTTTTTTCCTTTCCGTCGTGGATTATGTCTCCGAAATGAAGTCGTATGGGTGTCATGTGAACATGAATACCTGATTTCACCTGATGAGGACGACATTTGCGTCCTCGTAGTAAGCCTAAAATCATAGTCGGTGTTGTGGGACGAACAGTGATTCCAGCCGGTCCAGGACCGCCTCGACTACGAGGGCTTAAATTGCTAAACCCACCCGTATTTATTTCACATCCTCGTTGATGGTCCGATTGACAGTGAAGTATGTCTTCTTAGACAGGGCTTAATAAGTTCGATTACCTGGCCTAGACTTAGACTATATTTTTGCACCAAAGACGATTGGATGTTCGCGGCTGATAATCCTGGGAAAATAAATTGGGAAAGACGGGGCATCAAAAGATGCAATGGTCGTGTTTAGGAGCAGAAGAGCCATCCTGTCAAAACGTGAGCTACAGGATCGACAGTGTTGTCTGCGTTAGCGGTCAAGAAGTTGACGCGCAAAAATAGTCACTTTGTGCTTTTGCAAGTCAAGATGTTTTTGAGAAAAATGGTGGACCGCGTGAGAGGTTCATTTTTGAGAAGTTTTAGAAGACCATTTTTTGGGTGAAGTTAGCCTTAGCGGCGATAAATCCTGCCTAAAGCATATGTTGCTAGCAGTATCGCTTTAATTGCGCGTCATAGCTTTTGCGTTATTGCCTTAGCGTGGAAATGGAACTGAAGACTCTTCAGTCAGTTCAAGGTCTTCCCAAATATCTAGTTTTGTATAGTACGACGTTGGATACCGACGTGATTTTCATCCTTGAATTCCATAACTACATGGCTCTGGGTCATGAAAAATACGCTGCACTGTCTGTGAATTATGAGACCATTCATTTCACCGGTCGATACTTTCTGACTAACGGTTGACTGCATTGATAATCCGTGATGACAGTAATGGTAGTAACCCTGTTGAATCAGGCTTCGCGACGTAACACCTGCATTCTTCCTCCGCCAATGACACTGACTGCATTTTGTGAACTACGGAATCATGACTCAAGCAACTTGTGGCATGCGCGATTTCGATTTCTTGCGAGAACTTAAGTCTCGTCAAACTTGACGGTGTGGCCGGGTCCTGTTGAATATGTCGCGATCTAGCACTTAGCGCCATACCTCCTCATTGTTGATGCATGTTGAGCCGTGGCCGTTCGGCGTTATTTCTCAGTTTCTCCAATGTAGTTGCTTTGTCGACAATTGCACCATATCCAGTGAGCGAACCCAGACGTCCCTTGCCATGGTAATGGGTTTCTCGTCTTTATGGCCTAGCGCGTGACGGTGCCACTCCGTCTCTGAATATACTAAGAAAGCGGCGGACGTTTTTCACGCACAAATAGCTCCCGGCAAAATTTGGGGCCCCGCTTACGCATGCACTGGCTGATGAATTTGCAGGGGCACCAAACACCAGTCCAGGATATATTAGATCTCCAGTCTTGTCTTCCTCTCGCTTCTATATTCTATCACGCAGTTCTACCTGGGCAAATTAATTGGAAACTCCGGGAAAGGCGAGGGCAAATAACAGTTCTGGTGACGGCAAGACAAATCTTTGAGTAATTGTCCTGCCACGGATCAACACGCGTGACGCAGATCATGATCAGTATTGACTCAAGTACGGAATAAAATGCATTCGTCGCATCAACCACAACATCGGGCATGTGGTTGGCTGATAACCCTTCCTGCAAACACTGCGTCCCCCCGACTCTCAGCTACCTCTCTCTGAGACTCTCTCTAATGATGGATTCGAGGTTGAATTGAAAACGTCTGACCAACAAATCTCTCGTTCCTATTATTCTCCTTCTTAACCCTTTTAGATCTCACCATTTTGCTTCAATCGACGATTTGTACATTCTTCAACGATATCCCGTAAATACACGCCTCTTGGGAATGTCCACTGTTTGATCGTGGAGGTAATCCAACAAACACGATAACTCATAAATTCAAATAGTACACGCACGCCTGTCATTCCACGCTCTCACATGGCGGAATAAATCTGCAAACCCTGAAAGCGTCCGTTTATCCTAACATTAGTCCACTTCGTTGGGATCACTCCTGAATGCTTCGCTTGTTTGCTCGGGATTAGGCCGCGTCTTCCACTTATGCTTATCATTTCTGACAGTTGCTATAATTTAATTACGGTGAATTTCTCTCCGGGAATGGTAAATTATGTAATTCCGTTGCGGTTTATCTTCTTTAGCAGGTGTCATCTTGTTTTTGGCGATACGATCTCAGGCCTGATCGTCTGCCCTGGATTCCCTTTGAAATCCCGGCCGCAGTTTAACCATTTTCTACATGAACACGTCCTGTGGTCTTAAGAGTCATCCTGTCAACGATCACTTAGTGGTCTTATAGGATGAAGCCTATTATTTTCAAAATTGTTGATCCTAATTGTTGCTTGACCGTGACATCAAATGTAAGTTTTTCAAAGAAAGTTAGAAGGAAAATGCGCAAAATTGTTCTAGCATGAATCGAAATGCTGCGCGCTGAAAATGGAATCAAATAAAGTCCTAAGTTGCTCTCCGGTATGCTGACTTCTGGTAATGCACAATGACGGGCTGCGTAATGACCACATCGAACCGATCGAATCGTTTGAGACTGGAGGATGTTTTAGTCATTTTGGCAAAAGACCACTTTGTCTTGGCGCGTTTTAGAAACACCTGGGTCACGTTTGCCACAGTTAGTCGGACCAAACTGGATGACGTCTCCAAAATGAACCCTAAGTCTGAAGAGAAAGTTTACTGTTTACTGTGAGGGCCTGCTATGTCGGCAGTCAAGAAACACGTGCGATAAATAATGCCCGAATTATTATCTGTCAAATAAATTCTCCCATTACTTTAAATGCATCAACCGGATGGTCTCTTTAATTTGTTAAGCATATGTTATTGGGAATTCTTGACAACATCCTAAACGAAATGTTGCATTTTTTTCCATTTTCCTGTCCAAAGGATCGGATACTCCATTCCTATGTTTATTGGTCTCGTCATAATTTTTGGCTCAACGATAAGTAAGTCCGCTCGTTTCCTTAACACGACTTCTGTTTGTGGAGTACTTTTGTGTTTTTATCTCAGCTATAAGGTGCTCCTTTTCAGCGTTTGCCTTTGCCGAGAGCTACTTTCTCCTTCTACTGGCTCGGTCAATACAAGGCTTGGGTTCTGCCTTTTCCACTGTCTCCGGTAAGTCTGTGTAAACATTTAGCATTCTGGTAATGCGTTTTATGAGGTTTTTGAGTGATCTGCAATTTAAAGGCTTGCAAATATCTGAGAGTAGTCATGTAGCATTTACCTACACGATTGCCATATTTGGGAACTAACGTCTATTATTGTAAATCCTTGTAAATCCGCTTGCTCGGTTAAATGCTTCTTTAGTCCACATTTGCAATGAAAGATGTCGATGTAATTGATATTTCATGATCACTGATGTCTACTGTCGTGGGATGCGATATAGCGGCCAGGGTAATATTTGGGTCAGATCCCTGTTTGCAGTTCCATCAGCAATCGCGTCAGCCGACAGCATTTCAACCATCTGTCTTTGGCAGCCATGTAAAATCAAAATTATGACAGTTGTTACAGTACCGCACTTAATAGGCTGGACCTAAGATCGAATTTGCCCCCAATGCCATTTCATTAAACTACTAACGCGGTAGACGCTAAAGCTGTTCTGATGAGGCACTAGACGCCCAGAGTATTGAAAAACAAATATATTGACCCACTCGACACAAACAGGATCTTTAATCGCAAAAGCTCGATTTTTTCCCAAGATATTTCGTTAAATATGAGTTAAATGAAGCATTGGCAAGCCACGCTTTTTCGTCTTAAGAGTCACTTTGCAAAAAAGACTTTAATTGCGAGTATGAAAGCGAAGATAGATTATAAGACCCGATATGCGTCTCAACGTTTTTAGCGCGATTACGCTACCGGCGAAGCATCATATAAGATGCTATCCTTTTCGTTCATATTGCAAGAGGACTTCTTACTTATTAAAAGGCTTAGCATATTGGCAACCAGTGGAAAATAAATCGAAAAGGTCAGTGTAATAGCATTTTGTGGACAGTATCAAGGGACACATCGCTAACGTCCCAATTCTCAGTCAAAATCCTGTTTTTAAAAGGTTGTCTGACGTCTGTGCGAAAGATTCATTTTGCATAAATGCTCATATGACTGAAGGATTTTAAGGTGAGCGCGATTGACTGCGTATCAACCAGAAAGTCAGTTAGCTTCAAATTAATCGGCATGCTCAATTGTTCGCAAGTTCTTGGCCGCCCATGTTTGTTTGTGTTTAAGATTAAGTGCGCACGGGTATCCGCACAAGCTTGTCTGGTCAGAGTAAATAGTTGCGTTTCCACTCGCACAAGAAGTCGGCGATTTAATGTACTTTTTCCAGTATCCACAAGGCAAAAAATTGCGGATTCTGTGGTGAGACTTCTCCGTTAGACGGCATTTCATGTCGCATGACTTTTTGCCGAGGTCAAGGCTCGGTATCAACCCTTCTGGGTCTGTCAAGTAATGTTCGCTTATAAATAAAGGGAGTCTTCCTGCATTTTAGACGCATCGTTGTCATCTTTCGTGGAATATGCATAATCCGCTATAAACTTCAATTTTGTCCGTCCGAATTACAGTTGCAGATGCACATTGACGACATGTCTGAACAACATGCACGATGATATGTAAGCCTTGATGGCACAATTTAAGATACATGCAACCCCTTTTCACACTCGAACACCTATTGTTTTAAGCACATGGATACTAAAAATTAATTAATTCAGAATTATTGTTTTTGGTTAGCTCACGTTAATTGCGCAAATATCAGAAGCGCACGTTATTCTGTAGGTATGGGTACGGTGGCCACATTCTACAAGGATCCGGAGGAACGATCACGGGCCTTTGGATGTGCACTCACTGCGCTCGCCCTTGGACTATTAGGTAATGGTCGTCCGCAGGTCATATTCCTGATTTTCAACATTATTCTTTATGCATGTTTTTATACTGATGTGTTAACACATCTAATATTAACTGAAATTGTGTAATGTGTTTTTGACTGGAAAAGCGTACGTAAATATGGTGGTAATATTGATCACCGCGCATCATGGTAACAAGATATTTCAGGTTTTTAGGAAAACGATTTTTAAACGAACTTTCTTTCTGACATCCAAAAAACTATACTTCGTAGAAAAGGACTATTTCAGCGGTATGCATATTTTCGCATTTGTGCTAGGCGCCCATATACATTTTTGTCTACCTCACAAAGATATGCATGTAAATGCTCATTCTTTAACACACTTGAAAGGAAATTACATTCTTTGTTAATTTTATGCTTAAAGAAAGGCTATAGTTTGTTTTAAAAACCTTTATGATTCCCGAATAATTTTGAACCCGACATGTTTTCAAGCTTGAATAGAGAATTTTTACACCAAGAGCTGCATATTTTCCGTGTACGGAAAATCATACATTGTATATGCTTGTAAAGGAGGACAATATATGTTTTACAAAGTTTAACAGTGAATGTAAACTGTACTGCAGAGACATGATGTTTTGTGAACGGGCAATTTAAGGTTTTCTTTGTCATAATTAGAAACTATTAAACCCGAACTATGCACTTCTTTAAAATAAAAAATTTGAAGGAGACGTATGTTCCTCTCAAATGTGAAGAAGGATGGATATTTGTATGCATGTTTTCTATGAGACTTGGCTCGCGACGTAATACGAAAACGCCTCGAAGAAAAGAACGACAAAACTACAGGACCCCTTAAGATCCAGCAAATAATGCAGCTCTTTGCCTTCCACCAGATAACCTTTTTCAACTTCGATGGCAGATCATTCGAACAAATCAAAGTTACACCCATGGGTTCCCCAATATCCAACTTAGTTGGAAAATTGGTCCTACAAGGGCTAGAAAATGTTACTATCAGCCACTACAAACTTGCGTTTTGGTGCCGAGGCGTGGACGATACATTCGTCATTAGTGAAAAGGACAGGCTCTCGGGTTTTCAAAACCTGCTTAACAACAACTCCCCCGACACTCAGTTTGCAAGAGAAGACGAGAAGACCGAGAAACTACCCTTCCTTGACGTGCTCGTCACGCGCATACCCGATGGTAAACTCAGCAATGCAGTGTACTGAAAGGCGACCAATACAGTTCAGGTCCTCAGCTATCATAGCAACCATACATTGGTGCACGAACGGGACTGTGTGACGACACTTTTCGACCCGGTAAAAACGCATTGTAGCGGGCCCGAAGGAAGGATGCAAGAATGGCGGCATCTCAGGGACCAAGTTACAAAAACCGGCCACCCAAATAGTTTCATCAGCAGCTGCATACGCACGCACCCACGAAGGACAAACGGGAGTGACACCAATAATTTTGCACTTCCTAACCTAAATTTACAATGTGTCCGAGGCTACAGAATGCATTGCGTCAGAGTTAGGCGTGGGCATCGCATATCATCCGGCGGCTACTATGTGTAGCAGGTTCATGAAAATTAAGGATCGGCTGGACGCAGTTGAGCAGTCAGGCGTAGTCTATCAAATCCCGTGACATAACTGCCCTTGCCATTACACAGGACAAACAAGACAACGACTCAGTTCACGAATATCTGAAAACAAACGGGCCGTTCGGATAGTCGACTTACTATTTCAAGTCACCACTTACACGCTGCAGGAAGGCCCTGAGTTCGACTTCGCCAACACGCGGATATTGACGCGAGCCGGCAACAAGACGGGGCGAGAACTGTTGGAGGAGTGGGTGTCGGACACCAACCCTATCAATAGACACAATGATTTGCCTGGTTGTTATCACGTACTCTCCCCACCCAACCAGGTGGCGCAGCTCACATCGCCCCGAAGTACAGACGATGTCCCCAAGCCGGGGCCCATCGTGGGCCAGGCTGCACAAGCCACATCTAGCCACGGACGTAGTGCATCCGTCTTCACTACACAACGATATAAATATTCACACGTTGCTGCACTCTAGCAATCTCTGATGATGAACTCCATTTGGGGTTCCAAAGCTAAGGCCAATAAATCTACCGTTCCAATAATCGTGCCTTCGTCTTCTATTAAACAAAAACCTGGGATGCGGAAATTGTCTCCCACTCTATGCGATATATTCTTATTTAGATGGGCATCGGATATTAATGAGAAAAATTCATACGGCTGAAATAGTCATTTAATACACAGTGGGCTTTTTGCAAGAGCTCAAAAAGAGGTTGCTTCAAAAATCGTCATTCTGAAGTAAATGATATATCTTGGGATCATGCTATGTGGTGATTAATTTCACTATCGAACTTATGTGACCTTTCCCAATGAAAGACACTTTGCAGAATTTCGGTTGATATTTTGTGATCCTGCACACAATTGTGTTTGACAAAGAACGCAAGTGCACATAGCAAAAGGTTGCATTCTGTATAAACCTGGTCCGCTATATAATGAAAAAGGTGGATAAAGCAAAATATGGAAATAACAAAATGTTTTGCTGTAAAATCAACTTAAAATCCCGTTTAAAATGGCAAATATTCGCACATCGACCACGAACCGAAAGTCTATTACATTGCTAAGAGAACTCCTTTGCAATGACTCAGACAAAATAAAGTATCAAAGACTGGTCAGCAAAAAAGCATTTCGTAAGGCCATAAAACATGCTATGTCCTGTTTTACCAATAAATTGTTTACTAAGGAAAGGGGTAAGATTGTTGCTCATTTCCCCCATATTTAAATGGCAGACCCTACGCGTCGTCGGCTATTATTCTGGCAAATAATTGCAAGAAGAATTATGTTCGGCATTTGCCATTTAGTAAGTTGCAAGTTACATAAAGAATAAAAATGTCCTAACCAATTGAGCTAAGACCAATCCAACAGAGGTGCAAGGAAGACAAACAATATGCGAAACTAGGTTTTGCGTTATCCTGAAAAGTTCGCATAGTGCCAGTCTACATATCGAGATCATCTGACGACCGACAGCACAGCATACATAACTAGAAGCTGACTGGTTTGAAGGGTCCACAAAAGTGCAGGAAGTCTTCGATTTGCTTGCATTTGACAACTTACTCACTAACCCATTCATGTATTTTTAGTCGGACCAACCTATGCCGGCATTGTCTACCACCTCTTCAACAAATCGGCACCTTTCCTCATTTTGTCGGCCCTGACAGCAATGTGTGGTGGTAAGATGGCGGTTTTTATGTTTATGCTTATTCTTTGTTGCAAGTTGAGTCAACGCATCACTAAACACAAACGGACACACACCATATTGTCCGAATTTAGTCGTTCCCCGTCGTTATTTAGTGACGAGCATCAATTTATCCTGACTGCACAAAAAGGCTAGGTTTGGCCCTGACGTCACATCTGATTGATAACAAATAGGACGCCTCCTATCAAAATGTCAGCAGGTGGGATTCCGTTGACTCTACGCTTACTTCGTGTTAGTGCCTTTCATACTATTTTAATTCGGCGATTGACTGTGTCTTGGGGGAGTACTCATATGCCAGTCTCGGTTACATCAGGTGTCAGTTCAAACGCGCTTACCTGAGCTTCCCTGCTTGCTCCCTTTTTGTTATCTTAATCCAGAGCTTGGCTAGGTTGGGTTACTAATGGCATTGTTTGGACAGAATGAAACTCCGTTGGTTTTACTGCAGTGGCAACTTCCTTCGAATTAGCACGCGGTTTCCTTCATGGCCATCCATTCCTGACTGTGTTTTCCTTATCATTTTAGTCCAGCAAGCGGCTGGGTCGCCGTGAGAGTAATCACATGTCGTCTTTGGTTACACCAAACATTGGTTCACATACATTTCTCTGCGAGTGTTTCGAACCCTACTTGCGCTCACTTTTCCTTCCTAGTCCACTCAGATATGTTAACAACAACTGTTTAAGGAAGCGTACCACATAGCATCAATCAAATGAGACTATAGGACCAAACCTCGCCTACGAAAGAATTGACAAGGGGTGGCGAATAACAAAAGAGGGGCTTCAGTAGTGTCAACATCTGATGTTAAAAGTCTGTCGATCGTACCGCACTGCCTGAGCTGAAGATTCTTGGGCCAAATGCCAGGCAGAAATGCCTACTTTCATTGAACAGTAAACAGCACAGTGCTCACTATTCTTCTGTCGATGATAACGGACAATATTCCTATGATAAAGCCATTTTTGCGTTCAAAGAATTAACTTGGCTTGTTACTCTTATTTATTGGCGTCTCAAGTTTCATCAACCTTTAGTGATGACCGTGTTGGGAAAACGGCCGTTGGGATTTTGGTTTTCTTTGACAACGAAATACTCTTGAGGTGTTTGTTTATTGGATCCTTGATGAATTCGCGAAGCGTGGTCTTTTAAGAAGAATTTTAGTCTACGTGTCCTGCAAAACGTCTTCATGCTAAGCTTGTTTTTTACACTTGCAAAGTTTCCGTCAGAACTGAAAACCGACTGGTTTGTGCTAATAGTGAAACAAACGTTTTCTTACTGCCTTGGATGAGCGGAGTCTGAATGACAAATAACCTGATTTACACTTCCGGATAGCGAAAACGATGAAAACAATAGATAAGTGCAAGATTTTAAGTCAAACGCTGATTACCTTGAAACGACAGACAAAGAATGCTTTATGCAGTAGTGACTCATTGCCGTTTGCTTAAAAACCAGTCTTGCAGATTATCGTATTCAAGCCGAAGTTTCTACCGGAGGAGGAAAAAGGGACCTCGCTTTGTCGTCTTCTGATGGATCCATATATCCTCGTGGGAGCAGGTTCTGTTACCATTGGTGTTTTCTTGTTGTTTTAAACAAAACTGTTTATGTATACCAGGTCATATCATTTAAATGTCAGTTAACCGTCTGCCCTCCCTCGTCTAGCATCAAAATATATTATTAAATAAATAACCTGTGCACAGTTTAAAACTTTATGCAGAAAAATGTGCCACACTTCCATTTCGTCCTACAGTGAGCGCAAATAATGTGTTTCTTCTGACTACATTATCATACCCCTAGATTTCCAACGATCGAACGCTTCGACAGTCCACCCAAATAAAGCAGTTGATCTGGTGACTAGTAATTAGACTCCATTGAATAAAATTTGTAGTTCATGTATTCCTTCAACGACCCATGAATAAGCCTACCCTCCATACGCCCATCCATTCAACGTATTTGCAAAGCCGTCTAGAATTCTGGAAACTGCAACGAGTGATAATGGGTCATAGCAACTTGGCTTAATGCTTATATTCCATAAAACTGGATAAAAGCATCCGGAAATATTAGTTTTTTTTCGTTATTTCAGAATTTCCCCTCAAACCCTGCGTGGTGTACACCTTGAAAAGGTATATGTACAGTGGGTGTGTTAATTTATGAAATGTCAAGTGAAATTCCGAAATGCGTTTCTTTTCCGAAAAGATTAATTAAGTAGTGTTGTGAAACTAATCATCTTGCAGTAAAAGTAAATAATAATTCAGTTATCACGGAATGGCGGCTTTCGAACGAACTTCCTTTCGGCTGCATGCAAGAAGCACACTCTGAAAAGAATGACTTCGTATGGTACATGAAAATTTCTCATTAATTTTCGATGTCCCTAAAAGTCCAGTTACATTTCTTGGAAACCATATATAAGATTATGTATTCTTTCGCTCATTCTGTAGAACTTTACGTCTTCTTCCACGATTATGCCCGAAGAAAGCGTATTATTCGGTTATCAGTAATTTTTCAATTTCCGAATAATTGTGGACCTGCTCTGCCGTTACACTTGGATTCAGGACTTCTAAACCCCAAGTCGCATATTTTCCGCGTACGGAAAACCGCACATTCCTCTACGGCATTAAGAGGAGACCATATAGCGTTTATGAAATGTAGCACTGAATTTGATCAATATTGTTAACTATACAACCCGCACTGTTAAATACAGAGACTTGACAGTTTACGAAAGACCATTTAACAGTATTTAAAAGTCTCACAAGCGGAAACTTTTTTAAAGCCGATTTATGTTTCTCCTTCGGGCATAAATTTGGAAGAAGTGGTATTTTGCTACTGAATGAGCAAGACAATGAATATCGTAATGCATTTTTTCAAACAAATATAAGTGAACTTTTAGAGGCATCGACAATTAGTGAAAAAAACTTATGCAAAATATGCAGTCATTTTTTACAGAGTTCACTTCTTACATGCAGTCCAAAGGAAGTTCGTTCGAAAGCCGTCATCCTGAGATAACCGAATTATTATAGAATTATGCTGCAAGGTGATTAGTTTTACAACACTACTTAAATTATTTTTTTCGAACTGAAAACGCATTTCGGAATTTCAGTTGACATTTTATGTGTTAGCCCACCTACTTTATATATCTATGGGTATAAGCGAAAAACATTTGTTTGGGGAATAGGGGGTCACAGAGAGACAACAACCTACCAGGCCGAAATCGCTGTAATCGCAGAAGAGAAACGATAAGATCGGGGTGGTAAGTTGGTACAGAACTGTTTCGGGTTTATCTGGCCTTCATTCAGTCAAGCATAACCCTGACCGCCAGCTGAGCGCGCGGATCAAACATGCGCCCATACGCCTGATGCATTCGATCCACCACAAGTGGCCAACCGCTGGATCCTACGTACTTCATCGAAGCGAAGGCCATCAGCCCCTCGCCAACTGCCAATGTGCTGTCGCTGCTTAACGATGTTTCTTCACTTGGGAATGCGCGCATACCTATCCATAGGCTTCTCGAAGTGAAAAGCTTCCAATGCGGGAAAGGGGCCAAAAATGGACACATACCCACTTTGCTGAAGTCAATCAAGCTATGATAGCAGATGCGAAACGACTAAGGCTGTTTGCTCAGGAGGGCCAATGGGTCGGACACAAGGACACATAAATACATAAATAATTACCTGCATACAGCTTGCTCTGCCAATTTTGGTCTTCGACTCATTAGGCAGTCGTTCATTTTTACTAAAATTAGTTCGAATCCCTACATGATAATATCAGTAAATGCTTTACAAAGTAAACGGCGCAGCATTAACTTAGGAGCATGTGCTACATTAGAGAGCAGCGGACTTTTTATTTCGTGTGTTGTATCTTCCGATTTCCCATCTCCTTGTCGCCCTTCAATCCTCTCCTTTTCGCCTTTATGGACGATTACAAAAAGCTAACTGTCGCGGCAAAAATATAAACTTAATCGCGTGTTAAAGCAGGCTTGAAAACACTGTGAGGCAATCTGAATGATTATTTATAAGGGATTTTCTTGTCTTTGCAGGAGGTCTGACTTTTGGAACGTTTGGCATGGCCGTGCTGGAAGCCATGCTGCCCATGTGGATGAAGAAAAACATGAATTCAAACAGCTGGCAACAGGGAATTGTCTTCCTCGCATCGAGCCTCGCCTATCTTCTCACCACAAACGTCGTTAGTTGGCTTTTCCACAAAGTGGGTCACTGGTTAAAGGCCTTGTTGGGAATGATTCTCACCGGCCTTTGTCTCATTTGCGTAAGTCTACTGCATACACTTCAGTACGCACATGTCTTAATGTCTTACTTACCATTATTGCCTTCCGTATATGGTTAGGAAAAAGTTTATATCAAACTGTTCGCAACAGATCTTCTTTCTGACCGTCAATCCATCTTTGTTATCAGTGCTTCTTCGGAAATAGCGTAAGTTAGCCAAAACTGTGGACGAAACATACGTAGACGGATTGAACTTAGCTTACGAGAGGCAGAAGTCAGAACTGCTTAGTAGGTAAAATCATGGAAGCTTTATAATCAAGTAAATGTGTCGTATGTTACAAGCTTCTGACTAACTACAGATAAATAAACATGACGCTTTATAATAATCATAAACGCAGTCAGACTCTACGGAGGAAAATCAACCTAACATTCTCAATGAACGAAAATCCCGACCAGTGGGAGATATTTTAGCAAAAAAGCATAGTCTCCAAAGCATTGTAAGTCTGTTTATATTCGAAACATAAAAGCATGAACGGACAGCAAAACCAATGCAATTATTTGAGCACTCGCAAATGCGTCTTTATTGAGAATGAGCCCGAAATCAATAGATTGTATGGAAGCTCGATGACGTTATGAACATTATGATAATGTTAGCTGAAGGCGTTTATGCTGTGGATGCAAAAATAAAGAAAACGTTTGCATCGACTTTGGCAATAACTGGTAATTAATCATAGAATACGGGGTTGCCAGATTACCAGTCATTATATTAACGAGCGTTCATACGTACCAGACGGATAGCGGGATTAAAGTATACCTCTACTGTGGAGTGATATGAATAATAAAGGCCGTACAACAGAAAACCTAGTCTGAAATTAGAAATTCAAAAATTCCAGCAGGTAAAGCCGGTCATAAGTTCCACTTCATCCTTTCACTTGCGAACAGTATAAAGATGGGCAAAACGAGTATTAAGGGTAGTCCATGATGGACACTTTTGAGCCATTCGGGAAGACTAAAAGCCACAGCTAACGCCGAAACTTACGCAATTGATGACATAATGCACTTTTAGAGACAGCGGGATAAAAATTACAATTTGAACATCATTTCCGATAATGTTCACCGCATGCGTCTTAGCGCTCTAGGGGCAGGGACCGGGACGTGCGGATAAACTAATCGATAATGATAATAGGCTTGCCCAGTATCCTCACGCATCTGGGCCTGGTGTCAATAGCGATTCAGGAAGACTAAAGGCGGGATCGAGCGCAGTTACAGACAGCACTACACAGACCATCTGCGCGTGCTATGCGCACATTGGTTCCCCGCACACCACACCGGGATCATGCACAAACGGGTTCTCGGCGCGGATATCCCACGCGTGGGAGTGCCATAGAGGCCTCATTATGAAAGGCTCATCGAGTCAAACGTTCAGCCAATCGGTCGGCCACTGCATAAGAACACACTCTGGGCTGACTGCGGGGTCTGGGTTGAATTGTCAGTTGACAATCCTTTAAGGGTCTCAGAGATATTATGGGGAGAAATACCCTGAAGTGTCCTGAGAATGTGATCTCTAGAGTTGACCTCCGAGCTACCGTTAAGACACTTCCAATTAATTAATATTTGTAACTACGTTGAACCCTCAAAACTTGCTTCACGACAAATCAACTCCCACCTGAAAGCAATCCACTATTCACAAATCGTAAAGATATGTGATAGAGGTTATTCGCTAATCGTATTAATAGAGATACGCGCCCCACTGTGTATTGATGTACCAAAATTGAGCCTCGTAGCCAGTTGCAATGCGGTTACTGATATACGCAGAAGACTAAGAACAACGGCTGGAAGACTAGAATGACAATTTCCGGTTACAGAAGAAGGCATTGCGATCATAGAAAAAAGAAGTTTATCAGTCTAACGTTTCGGATTCTCACTCAGTGTCATCATCAGGACAGTCGCAGTTAGGCGTAGCGGAGGCACAAGAAGTGCAGTATTAAGAGTGCGAAGCAGTCGTCAGACAACATGCGTACACCTCTCACGATCACAGCTAAGGGTTGTGATAGGCAGTCTGCGTCGAGTCGTCAGTGGCCGCTATTTCATCATCCGTGTTGGACGTTGGCGCGATGATTGCTCGGAAGTGTGGTCTGCTGTCATTGGACTTAGCGTTCGTCCGCGCCATTCCTACGTGGTTGATTCTGCTGTGCAGGGAATGTTTCAGCACTAAGGGATTGTGGTCATAAGAACCACTACTCAAGCAGCTGGCAGCTCACACGGTTGTCACTTCTTGTGAAAATTTCGCCCTTCTAAAACTTGAAAACATGGCTGGGTCCCGTCGGGGGAGCCGCCGTGTGAGAGCTAGAGTCTTTCCTTCCCACTCCTGCTGTGTGCTCAGTCATCCGCTTCCGGGATAATCCCCCAGTATTCCCGACGTAGTTGTTCTGTCTGCAACCGCACCGTATTCGGCAAGCGCCTTCTGACGTCACTGACGTGGCAATGGGTCTTTCGGTCTCATGACTTTCCGTCTGATGGTTGCTTTCGGCCTGTGTGCAACCCCAAATCCAAGTGTGGTGAGAAGCCGACTGACGGCTTTCAAGATGTTCTCCGCATACAACGGAGCTTGCAAAAATTTAGGGCCAGTTAAACATGCACTGATTGACAAAGTTTCACCTGTAGACATTAGCCCTCGTTGTCCGTCGAAAATATTTTTATTCAGCAAACTTGCATTCCGTTCCACTGTAATGGGTCTCAACGCGCCGGTATAATTATGGAGTTATGAACATGACAACCATGTCGGGGTAACTGAGAGATTATCACGAACGCAGATGGCCGAGCACGCAACGACAGTGGGGGGAGGGCTCAGGTTGCGTCTTATTCGATGGGACCCGGCCATATTTTCAAGTTTCAAAAGGCCGAAACCGTTGGCCGCCCATGCCCTCGCCGCGTGACCAATTATTCTGCTTTGGCTAAATAGTAACACAACAAAACGGAAGCGAAATGACACCGCGCAACCAATATCTTCTTTGACCGTACCCAATGATGCGTTTGAAAATGAATCCGGAAGGTCAGACTGATATGTTTCTTGTACTAGCGACCGCATCTTCTTCCGAGCGTGTTTGAATTTCACGATTGCAAACCTGCGTTAGTGTGATCGGCTTACGACGGCCGGTATTTAGAAATGGTCATTCCAGTCTCCGTCGCCTATTTAGGAGGCCTCGGGTTTATACATTTACATGTAAACTGAAAACATGAACGTACTTTGAAAAAAATAGGAAACTAAAGTATGCAATTTTGACACTTGTTTCCAGGTTGCCGCCGAACTTTTTCTAAATATAGTAAAAACAGGTCACTACTTAAAATCTGTGGTTAACTTACTTTTGAGGATACTCCGCTTTTGAGAGACTTACTCGTTGTCTTCTTGCTGTATAATAACTTTTGCACAAGTTCCTTTACAACAGACAGATATGTATGTGATATTTCGTAAGTCTTTTGCTGTATGAGTGCATATGACAATGTCCATTTATTGTCAACTTTTCCTCAAGAGGATATTTAAATCACGATGTTGTAGAGTGCATACCATTAATTAACTTTTACGTCAACTAATGTGTCATCTATATGTCGTAACTATAATTTACGGTCAACTAATGAAATTGTCGTAGATCTCGATTCCCATATTTTATCTCGAACAAACGTGTAAATATACATATATTTAAAGAAATCGCATACTGATTGCAAAGCTCTTGCGGTGGCTGCCCAGATGCATTTTTTTCAAATAATCCTTAAACAATGATGGAGAAACGAGATCACGGACGAAACGAAACATGTTGAAAACGCACTACGTATGGAGATGCTGAAAAAAAGATTATGGCGCATATGAAGCTTACTCTACGGCAAACATCTTACCGGATTTTACGGCTACCATAATAAAGACGAACTAACGAAATCTTCTTCTTGTCTACAGAAAGATCGATAAAGATACTGCTTGAGTTGTCAAATATTAAGCACATTGAAAACAGCTATTTCTTTTCAAATATAATTTTGAACCTAAATAGAGCGCAAGCGTGAGAAAGCAGCTAATCGTCTTAGATGAGAAGCCAAGGTTAATTATGCTTCCTGAAGAAACAAGTTGTTATTTTCAGAAAAATACTTAACAACAGAAAATTTTGAATCGTATCTAGGTGCCCTTTACCCGGACGGTGGCTCATTTATTCGCTCCCGTTTTTGGACTTGGAGTGGGCGCCGGTGAGTAAAAGCCTGTCGTTCCTTCCGTTCTATGCATATTTATTTCGCGTCGGAGGGATATATTATAAAATAACGGAACAGCAATACCCATACGAGCATAATTTTATGGATGAATTTATGGCCACAGACTTTAACTGTGAACCGAAATGTATACGAGCAACGTTTTTTGAAAGTTTGTTGCGTTTTGACATCATACACTCCGTCCACGACATCTGACTCGGTCTCAGGTACTTGTTCGTAGACTAAACAAAAAACTATGTCATTGTTACGTCGAGTCCTTCTGATTTCCAGACAGTGAAAGGCAAACCCGAAATGTAGATCACAAATAACCGTTAAATTGCACGCGCTACTTAGCATCGAGTCTACTTTAAGTTTCTTTGTGATCCTTCTCCCTTTTTACTCCCAGACGGTTGTGCTGCATCGATGTCTGCATATCGTGGACCATTTAACTTCCCCTACCTTTCCTACAAGCCAAAAATGCAAAACTAGCTTCCTAAATATGTAGGAGGCACTCCAAACATATATAAAAAGTCCTGCAATCCTAACCACAGGGATACAGGCATCGAATTGCAAAAGTAAAACCACAGGTACTGTTTTCTGCATTAAAATATTAAGGCCGCTTTAAGGTTTTAGACTCAGACGGAGGTCTCCACTGCCTTAAAACGAGGAGTGACTTTTAAGGCACCAGAGAGAGGTCTGCGTCAACTACCCATGAGTACGCGCAAGCATAAAACACGCTTTATCCCGCTGTTGGTGAAAGCCATGATAAATCAAATACACCGGCGATCCAACTTTTAGGATGTGAAACTTACCTTTATCCACGATTGTAGATTAGCAACATTGCGGGTCAGTCAGGTTAAATAGCGCTTTCACTTAATTTTAGGCCTGTTGGAAGCTTCGCTGATGCCAGAAATGGGTTCTTTGGTGGATCTTCGTCACGTTGCAGTCTACGGCAGTGTTTACGGAATAGCTGATGCTGCCTTTTGCTGCGCCTTTGCCATTGGTAACTACAATCCGTCCAATTTGATGGCCTTGCCTGATTTTTCGCTGAAAAATCAGTTATTTTTGTACCTTATTTCGAGTCTGTAAAAAATCGATATTTATTTTGTTTTGGCCGCGGTTTTGTGTACACCTCTCCATCATTTTGGGCAAAAATCGTGTTAAAATGTTCCGTATGGAAAATGCTATCACTATGCGTACGCTCTTTAATCGCCTTTTTTAACTGGATAACTAGCGGCGGACAATTAAGTGACTAAAACCCCATGAGTAAACAAAAACCGGTTGTGGCCATAATACTTTGCGTTGCGTAAGTGGAACGCAGGAAATAATGCATTCAAATTCTGGGGCAAATTCGGAAACTCTCAGAGGTAGGACGGGCATGATCCGAATTCGATCGTTTTATAGGTTTTTCAGATTTTTAGAAAATTGTTATCTAGTCGGAGGTCAAGTAGGTCTTTACACTCTCCGTTCACAGTAACTTTACATTGACAAGAGCAGTTGCCTTTTGGACGCTAGATGAGGCTTGGTTCAGATAACTTCCTCTTCAGCAGCGTACCCACAACCTTTCAAGTGTGATATATGAAATTCAGAAGGAGACAATAAATGCGATAATGACTAAATGCAAGCTAGGTCACTGAGTGTTCCTGTGTAAAGGCCACTGCTGTGCTTTAAGATATTTCCAACCCCAGTTTTGAATGCTCAGCAAACTGTATGTCAAACTGAGGAACACTTCATGCGTTCATCAAATTATGTAGCGCCTGCGGAGAAGAAGACGCGATTGCTGAAGCAAGGGCTTAATTTGCCTGACGTTTCGTATTCCTTCTTCCAACCATCCTCACAGAAACAATAGATGCCGACAGTTCATGCACGAGGGGCAGTCCGCACACCACCAGACACCTATGACAATTCATGGATCGCCGCTCATCAGGGACTGTCGTACGTGATGTTATGTTCGTGCTATGGCCGAAATTTTAGTCGTTAATTGTTGCAATTGTATCACGGATGTTGGCTGTTGGTGTGATGATTGCTGGACAATTTGGCCAACCGACGGCGCGCTGTAAACTCCCCTCGGTGTTAATTACTCCGCCTAGGCTAGGTTTCAGCACCGATGGTCATTGCACTTGTAGATAGACTGGAGACAGTGAATAATGACTAAAGCATATCACGGCGAGAAATTCGGCCATATCGAATTTAAACCCGTGGTCAGGTCTCGTTGAATCATATAAATACTGCAGAGCCTTGGGCATGTCTCTAATGCTGTGTATGAGCAGGAATCTGAAGTTACATGCAAAAAAGGAACTAGTTCAAACGATTATGTCTTCTTTTTCACTGCTGCTTCTTGGGCCTCGTTTTTCGCTCTTACTTACATCCGTTCATTGGTTTTGCATTGCAGGACCCGTAATCAGCGGAAGTCTGGTTCAAACCGTTGGTTTCAGTTGGTAAGTAATATGCCTTCGTTGTCAACCTTGACACTTTTTTAACGTATGCATTTAAGGCGAGCATCTTAGAAGTGTGAGAAACGACTCCAGCATTTACTTTATGAAGTATTCAATGAGTCACATTTGTTAGACATATATATCATGGTCATTTAATGTCAAACTGAGGGCTTTGTTAGATGAAGTTTATAAACTACACTTGACAGCTCTGCACCTGTAACGTTTGTAATATAATGTGTAATATATCTGATAACTAATAGCATCTAATATTTCTAACATTGTTGACTCGAGAGATATATTAGCACTGAATATATACGTATATATGTATAAATATATATATATATTGTTATATATATAATGGTGCGGGACCCTCATCGAGCGTTCTTACAGATCCCCCTCGTTCCGTTGTGCCCAATGGTTAGAGACGTGGACTTCTAACTAACAGGTCGCGAGTTCAAGCTTCGGGTGTTCCACAGTTCGGGGTTGGGTATGACTGGCTGACGACGATTACGAAGCCGGAAGTGGCCATTCCAGTCTCCCTTGTCTCTGTCGGTAATGGCATACTGCATATATATATATATATATATACTGAAGGCAAGGACGCCGTATGAGAACCGTGCTTGCAGATGACATAGTACTGTATACCGAAATCCGCAAGAATAGCCTTAGTTTATCACGTACCACTGTACATCTACCCTGCATGAACACCCTTCGTAAATGGCGAGTATTGCGTGACTGACATGCAATGCTATCCCTTTGGTCACCGAATCCCTACACGGAAATCTTTTGTGGATCGCGAGTACTACGGCATTGACCTCAGCGTCTAGAAGGGTGCTTTCTTTTACTTAATGACTGCATTGTAACACGGAAATCTTTTGTGTGTCCTGCAATGCTGCTCGCTTTTGTCATTGCACACACACGGAAATCTTTCGTTACCGATTCGCTCTACTGTGTTGAGCCTACTACTCCTCCCAACCAGCGTTAATTTCGGTTATCGTACACGTGAGTAAACATCTCAAGCTCCGTTCGGCCAAAATTCGTTGTTTTAGCGTCCAGAATAGTGCTGTCATCCTTTTGCCACTTGATCCATATCCGGAAATCTTCCGTTACAAACGGGTACCACGTGGTTATCTTCCTCCACAGCGCTAGCTTCGGTTATCCTTTCAACAATTTCTCAACCGTACCGCACTCAGGTTGATCTATTTTACTTTAGCGTCGAGAAACTCGCTGTTTTCCGTTAAGTCATTGTACCGTCACACGGAAATCAGTCGTAAACTACTACTCTGTTATTCCTTTAGTCAATGCACTCCCACATGGAAATTTCTCGTAGGCGGCAAGTACTACGGCGTTGACCTCAGCGTCTAGAACAATGATGTCATCGTTTTCGTCGCTGCACATCTACTCGGAAATTTTGTGTTAACACCTAGTACACGGAGATCTTTCGTGTGCCACTGCAATTTTGTCCGCGTTAGTCACTGCACACTCACACGATCTTTCGCAAATGGTTCGTACTACGGTGTTGAGCTCATTCCCCCATCCACCAAGCAGCGCTAGTTTCGCTTACCGTATAAATGAGTAGCCATCCCCAGCTGCGCTCGTTTAAATCCAGTTGCCTCTCCGTCTAGAACGGTGCTGTCATCTCTTTTTTATAACTGCGCCCCTGTTCGGCCACCTTGCGTTAATGATGAGTACTCCAGAGTTAACTTCCTACACACAGGTTGGTCTGCATTATCGCGGTGTCCCGAACAGAGTTGGCTGCCGGTTACGCACTGCACCGACATACCGAAATCCTTTGTTATCCACGGGTACTACGGATTTACGTCTCCCGACATCCTTGGGATCGGTTAGACTATTCTTCACATGCCACGCACAGCATCCTGGAGTTGCATTGCGTTGTCTTAGTGTCTACAACGCCGGGATTGGCCGCTTAGTTACCGTAGTCCTACACGAACATGTCCGGTTGTCGACGAGTACTACTAATTTTTTCCATATGTTGTGCTGGAGACCTACGTGAAGTTGCCCTGCATTTGCATGTGCTCTCCATCCAGCGATACCATTGCTTTCGGGCTTCCATCCACACACGGAATCGTTTCGTAAAGCAGAAGTAATACGCGTTCATCTTCCCTCCCCCCCACCGCGCAACCCGTCTGCCTCGCGTAACCTTTCCATGAGTTGATTTTCCTACCAGCCTGCCGTAGACATGCAACGTTTTAGTTTGTACAGCAATGATGCCGTCTGTTACGTCTCCACATCGTCATACAAAACTGTTTCCTTTACGCCGTCTGCTAGTGGTTGGAGTAACCTTGGCTACGCTGTTCCGCTGTGTGTCCGCTTTCCTCTTGATATACACACGTCAACAATTCAGGCTGCACAAACACCAAGACTGACATTAGTAGACTGCAGAAAAAAAACATGGAGACGTTCTGTTAAAGGGGGTTATCTACAAATGAAATTATCAGCGGCCAATGATACTTCATAATGGGAAGTTAGGTCTAACGGGATATGTCTCTGAAAGATGTCAAGGCTGTACCATATTCTATATAGGGTTTCATCCAGAGTTCATCCGGAGACCGGCCCATTTTCACGCAGTTTCCTATTGAGGCGGCTCCAGTATGCTTCAATGGCGTTTGTGTGCCGGTACGTTTCCGCGTCGACGAAACTGCAGGAATGGTTGACCGTGTACCGCTGGAAGCGCTCTGCAGCGTGGACACTGTACGTCTTCCATTCGTTGGTAACCGTTATGCTGCCGGACGCAACCCTCTTCTTAATGTCGGGCCTCAGAGCGGACCAGCTACTGTTGATAACTTGCTGGAAGACAGTATTCTGTCGGTGGGTGTCGTATATGCTGACAATCCAGTACGGTCGTTGCATACGTCCGATGTCATACTTCCTACGACTTACGATTGTTTTATTATTCTGGTCCTCCATTCCGGGTCCACCCAGCTGTCCGGTTACCTTCAACAGAGCGCCTAAACACACATCCCGGCATGTGCGATACCATTTGAGGGCAGTATGGTGCCCAACCTCCACTTCCTGCTTACATTTCTTCAATTTACCTCCCCCCACAAAGACTGGCATTATTTGCATTGCCTTTGTTATGGGGAGGCGACTGCCATTACTTTATTCGGTAACATTTTGTACATTGGAATACAACATCGTCCGTGCGCATGCTGCCTCTATGGAGCCTCATTGGTCTGCGACTTGTGCAGGTCTGGCATGCTAGGAGTATTCCTTTTTATTGACAATAGTTTATCCCGTTGGGCATTTCCGTTGCTTGCCTAATACTGTCAATTCTAGACGCTTCATTCACTTAGGGCCACTTTCCTTTATCATTGGGATGTTCGAATACAGCGTCTCTGCAACATAAACAACCCTTCTTTCGCCGTTCCCACAAGACAGGACGGCCTTTCTCGGGGTATATAGCATGGGTCTCATACGGCGTCATTGCCATACTGTATTTATGTATATAGATATATATATATGGTAAAGGTATTATACCGGACCCCCGGCACAGATACTTGCTAAAAGCCCAAACACGTGCTTCGCCGATACTCTTCCGCTGCGTGACACAACCGCGAGGGGTTCGACTCTTCAGTGGGACCTCCGGCCTTCTCTATGCGACTTCTGGTATATGATTTCCAGAGAAGAATCAAGTGAATAATTTGAGAAATAACTCAGTGCAGGACTTGGAGTTAAATCTCTGGAATATGACTTTTTATGGTCAGAACCGAAATTTCAATGAATATTCGAGTCGAAGACAATACGTATATGACTTTGTTACTTTCGTATGACGACGGCTTGGTGACACTGACTTCGAAAATCTGCGAGTTCAACTCGATTTTCCGATTAGCCTTAACTTTTTCGTTTGTATAAATATCTGCATCGAATATATGATTGAACAAATACCCGTTCCGTAGCGACAGAGACTTACGAGTGGCAAAAAACTGATGAACTCCGATCCAATGAAGTACTTATGGCCCATCTGGTAGACCGCAGTTGTGGATCATCTGTGTGAGGGGTTTCTGTACGCATGTTTCTATTTCTGGTCACAGCTGCTGGATAGGTATACAATTGGCTGGATAGGTATACGATTGGCTGGATGAAGGCAAAGTAAGCTCAAAACACTACTGTATCAATCTATCCGCATTCAATGTCGTCTTTCCTCCATGCTATATATATGCGTATTTATATATCATGGCAAACGGGAGCTCACCGATTAGGCTACGGAACTTGATCCTTTCGTTGTTGCTTGTGGCTCAAAGTAGAACCCTCACGGTCATTCGCACAGTGACTAGTAGCACAGGTGGATAAGATAACACCGATTAGGCCGTAATGACCATTTATGGGCTACTCGCATCGTCGGCCACTCAGGGCCAACCACAAATATAGATTTTCTTAGGACTTGCGTATGACCGGAAGAAATGGCCATTCAGGTCTTCGTTGTCTTTGCTAGTACCGCCTTACATATACAGTAGATGTGCTATCTCATGAAATTTTAACCAAAATTTCGAAATGCGTTCTCGTTTCAAAAAGATAACTTAAGTAGTGTTGTAAAACTGATCATGATGCAGCATAAATCTATAATGATCCAATTACCCCAGGGTGTCGGCTTTCGAATGAATTTATTTTCGGCTGCATGCAAGATCTTCACTCTGCAAAATATGACTACTTAGTTGGTATGCGATTTTATCATTGATTTTCGATGCCCTTGAAAATTCAATTATATTTCATGGAAAACATGCATGAAAATATTCATTCTTTTATTTATTCGGTAGGAAATCACGTCTTCTTCCAATTTCATACTCAAAAGAAGAGTATAATTCGGTTTTTAAAAAATTTCTAATTGTGGGATTTTTTAATACCGTTAAATGGCCGTTCATGAAACGTCATGTATCTGCATTTACGAATGTGGCTTGTAAAGTTAACAATATTGCTTAAATCCACTGCTTAATTTTATGAAACTTATATGATCTCCTCTTAATACCGTAGAGCAATGTGTGGTTTTCAGTAGACGGAAAATGTACCGCTTGTAGTTTTGAAACCCTGAATGCAAGTGTAGGAGCAGGTCGGGTTCAAAATTATTCGGGAATTGGAAAGGTTTTTTAAAACCGAATTATACTGTTCTTTTGAGTATGATATTGGAAGAAGACGTGATTTTCTACCAAATAAGTAAAAGAATGAATATTTTCATGCATGTTTTCCATGAAATATAATTGTATTTTCAAGGGCATCGAAAATCAATGAGAAAATTGCATACTACTTAAGCAGTCATTTTTTGCAGAGTATAGATCTTACATGCAGCCGAAAATAAATTCTTTCGAAAGCCGACACCCTGGGGTAACTGGATCATTATAGATTTATGCTGCATCATGATTGGTTTTACAACACTACTGAATTTATCTTTTCGAAACGAGAACGCATTTCGAAATTTTGGTTGACATTTCATGAGTTAGCACATCTACTGTATATATGTACTGCATTTATACGTACTTATGGAAATATATTAAATGGTAAACACTGAACGACTCGCATACTTTGTCCTCTTCCCCGTCTGCAACGATAACGTGGTCGACGTCGGTCTGGCATTCGAATGCCTATTCCTCAACTTAGCCACCCTTAAGGACCTTGTTTGCGCTCCTGAAACCAATGTATATGCGTGTTCCCACTCTCATTTCAAAAACTACTCGATCTTTAGTGTCGGGATGACAGGTTGCGATGCAATGATGAATTTCGGTCCGATAAAGTGTTTATGACCTGTCTGGTAGACACCGCCTAAGGACCACATGTGCCGTGTGCGCTGGCCTGTCTGTGTTTGTGGTTTCAACTGCTGTTCAGGGATATAGGTGGATAAACGAAGGCGGAATAGGCCGGGACAGTGCCGTACCGATCTACATTCAATCTCTGTCATTCAGCTTTGCTGTTGTGTATATATAATTTTGCCCACTGCACATGACGTAGTCATCCTGAGATACCGCATGTTGAAAAAAGCCCTGAAACCTGCATTTAGATGTTTAATGTTTCTTTACCATTTATTCTTACTTAAGCTAGGTAAAAAGTAGACTTTTACGGGGCATTTATGTAAACATTCCAGTACTTCCGTCGACCTGAACGACTTTCGATTGGGCTGACCAAAATATGATCTAAATCATAAATATCAATGATGTACATTCTGTTTATTACGGCTGTCGACTAAATCAATTGCCTGTCGCAGGTCGTGTGTGATTTCCCCTTATTTTCTGTTCAGATAAAACCTATCGTGTGTCGTTAAACTGAATAAACTCCTTAATGCCTACTCATGTTTTTTTGTATTTCCAGGACTCTCTGGGGCCTGGCAATTGTGACTGTTGTGTACGCACCCCTGTTGCTTGTTCTGCGCAACCCTCCAGGTAGCAAAGAGACTCAAGTAAATCCCGCACATTTTTTTTAATTTTTCTATGTATCCCAGGTTATGCAGCGCACCAACGGCTTATGTTGCAAATTAATCGTGGTCATTTTACAGATGGAATCTTGGGAAAATCTGCTAACGTTTCGACATTTTAATGTTCAGCAGTAAAGTCGACTAATTAAGGATGAAAAATAATCTTACGGGCGAAGTAGCTGTATCCAAATTTGACCTGGTCGGCAGGAGGGTCCGATCTGTCAGGCAAACACTGCAACGAATTAAGTGACGGAATTAATATCTGCACACCCACTCCTCACCTACACAAAACCAGTTACAATTGGACGACCACATTGAAAGCACTTAAATGCTTTATACTGAAAAGCCTATCTCGCATTTAAAAATGAAGACCCTTTTGATGAAGAAGTTAAACAGCTTGTCAATATAAGCTGCAGGTTAAAGAGGTGATATGCGCAAACCTGTCACATGAAATAAAAGCCGTGGTTCTGAAAGTTTGACTACGTAGATGAAATCAAATTGTATCTATCAGCACTCTAAGCATTCGATCTAAATAAACTCATACGTTTTACGAGTTCGAACGTTTTTTCGTTTGATTTGCCAAAATTAAGGGTTTCTGCTCCTTCCGTGCGAAAAAATACTTCAACAGCTTACGAATGAAGGTCATAAAGTAGCCCAGAAATTGTGTCGTCTATCTCACGATCTGTTAACCACAAATCAGAAGAGTGTTTTCAACTACAACATATTACTTAAGTGAGAGTTAGGCGTCGACCGTTGTGCAACATAATTTCAAGTATTCAAGTCACGCCAGGCTGCCCATGTTCAAATATATTTTATTGCTGCTGCCTGCAATAACTGCAAATATCAAAACATGGCAACGTACGTGGCACGACCCGATGCACAGGTTTTCATAATCTATAGTAATGTAAACATTTTAACGGAAACACGGGTACGAGTATTTTATCGCATTCATATAATAGCAAACCATTTGCTCCCTAACTATTTGATCAAATAGGGAATATATCTGACCTTGTGAAAACACTTTTGCATCCTCGATCTGTGATCGCACTGACGCTATAGTTATCAACCTTTTCATCTACTATTTTCGCCTTATTGAAAATCCTTCGTTTCCCAATCTATTTTTAAGATGTGTTATGTGTATTATAAGTATGTCTTACTAAATATACACCACAAGTTATAGTCCATAAACACCAGTGGTATCTAAACAGACACAAGTCTGTGTGAATAAATATTTCATTTTCTCAAAAGGCTCATTATTAAAATGGGTTTTCTTTAAATTAAAAGGCACTGTTTGATCGGAATTACAATTTGCGAAAAACGTAGTTTAAAAACCAATTAACAGCGAAAAATTACATAGTTATTGCCCTCTAAAATGTAGTTTAATCCAAGATGGCATCAAAGCTCTACGAAAACGTCAGTCTGTTTAAGTTATTAACTTGTTTCCGCGGAATTGTTCTTAATCGAAAACGCCTCCAGAAGGGTGGCTGACATTTCATAAGATGAGCCAGATGATGATCGTATTGCGTCTGTTTAACATACATTATCGAGTGTGAAGTGTAACTTAGAAATAAAATATTTTGGACGGATAATCAGGAAAACAAAACTGCAGTTCATCATTCCCTCTGGTCAGCTATATTTACAAGGAAAAAACCCTTCCCGTATTACGCAGATATAAGGAATATGGTTGGTTAAAACCTTAGGACCAAGTATCTTGAAGACCAGGTTATTCACTTGGTTATTTTTATGACACATTTTGACCTTCGTTTTTTCAGGTGACGAAGGAAAGTCCGACTGAAACGCCAAGTGATGATGAGTTATAGGCGACTACAAGAAGGAGAGCGACTACAAAGTCGATGACTGCCGACGTTAAAAGGGCAATAATCACAATCAATCAAGTGAATCCAACTTACAGCTTTTAAGACCGCGTGAAAAGGATTCAAGCCTGACAGCGTTTAACTCTCCCTTTTCTGTAAAAAGATTCTCGATAATTTTTTTGATTTCTTGTTGTTTTTCGTTTTATAAAATGCGCCCTTCAAAGTAATTCATTTTCTCCTTAAAAAAGCCTTAACATTTCTTTACTAAACATATTTTTATGGTACTGCATAACAGCATAGGTGAAGTGTGCCAGAAATCTCGCCAAATGCTCTTTGCATAGAAACTCGGGAACATTATTGACCTAGATCTTTACAACGCATTCAAATGTATTCAGTTAAATAAAGTTCTCGATCTTGCCAACAGGAAAATCAGCCAGTAGTTACTTTATGTTTGGCGGGACACAAAATTTCTATAAACGATATTTGGAATCATATGTTCATATAAACATTTTAACGATTATAGTTTAAAGAAAGGATCGATAAAAGACCAGCTACACGATATCGTTTTGGACTAGCTAATGCCCACTTAGGGTAAGATAATTCCTATTGACCCAACTGTGAAACAATGGGCACCTCCGTGGAATTCGGGCACAGGCAGTAAGGGGAAGACTTTAGTACAGCCAACGGCTCGGTCTTTGGCGTTCCATCTCAACCCTTGGAGACTATGATAGTCTAAGAGAAGAAACATGTGGACTGCAGGTCAGATGAAACTGAGTTCGGATGAAACAACATGTATGTAGGGCTATAACCTACTCAAATAGATAACGTAGGTATTATTTCTAGGTAACGGATTTTTTGGGTGCCATCTCCCGATTGTTACCCAGTCAACGCTCTAACCATTTGAGATACGAGGTCCGCCGGACAACGCGAGTTTAATCACATTTGGGTCAAATTGCCCGCCCATAACGTAGATACATATTTTCCACAAAAAAGGGAATTCTGTGAAGAGGCCTCGACTACGGGGCAATATTCATGACGTTTTTGGTATCGAAAACGTATTGTGTCGGTTTCCGTCATGACGTTCAATGAGTTATGTCATATACGGTAGGGCACACACCCTGTCAGTTATAGTTTTCCCTGGGGGCATACCTAGGAATTCATTGGTGCTGAAAGGCCACTTATTAAGGATGCTGGCCAACGCTCTAACCATCTGAGCTAGGAGAGCTCGCAGAACGACGCCAGTTTAATCCCATTTGGGTCAAGTTACCCGCCCAACCTACTGCAACGTCTGGAATTCACCAAATATGATACAGTAAGTTGACTACCCAAGCAGGATTTCCCAAGTAATTTACCTAGAATCCGCCAGATGACAACCAGGCTCACCTAGTTCGTAGATGTTTTGGCAGATTATGAATAATTCATATTGACTCAACTGTGAAAATTTCGGCATCTCGGTGCGATTCGAATCCACGCAGTAAGAGGAAGGCTTTATTACAGCCAACGCGCTAACCGCTTGAGCTACGAGACCCCGACCGACGACGTGTGTTTAATAAGATAATTGGCAACGCAACTTAGAAGCAAAATGGGCGGTTTGATTTATCTCTCTATGGCATATGCGTGTTTTAAATAAAACTTCTATCTTTACGCAATCTAAAATCTTTCAAACAGCACCTCGGGGAAAGCAATGTCTGAATGATTTTCTTAAGACAATGGGCTCTTCAGGAAGTCTACATTTCCGATTAGCTAATATGCGCCGATTGGCATGAAGCAGCTGATAAAGAGAGAATGCAGAATTGCAAAATATGGCAAATAAACGGGCCTGAATTTGCGAAAGAAAAATCTCGATCACCGCCCACCGGTGGAGATTTCGAACTCTCAGCTTCAGGTAGACTGCAGGGTCGAAATAACTGGACACGTCCTCAGCAGTATAGATTTTTTTGCGATACGGCTGCATTTGCGAGGGATGTGTAAACAATGCATGTGGGTCCAGTTACAATATGTCAAATACAAGCATTTATATAATTCTACCGCCTGATAACAACACGTCTGTAGCAGCGAACAGTACGTGATTTCTGCAGTGCAAATCGAAATGCAGAGAATACACGAAATTTTGAAGCATCGACGCAAATAAACTGATAAAAATAGTGCCAGATTGCAACGAACCGGATCGAAACGGACATTATACATATTGCCAATAGAAGCGAAGAGACGAGTCCCAGGAAACAGTCTTGAGGAAGAAGACACGATCGCCGGGACAAGAGTTTTATTAGTCTGACGTTCCAGATCCCTGGTCGAACACACCATCAGAGACAAAAACAGATACGGGTGGCTCATGCACAAGGGGCTGCAGTATCTACAGGATGCAGTCGCCATGCTACAGCATACCTATACATACTCACGACTCCCACCACCTTATTCAGAGAACACTGCACGTGGTGTGATAGTCGACATTCGCGTCCTTAATTATTGCAATTTCATCATGTGCGTTGGATGTTGGTGTGATGATTGCTCGACCATCTGATCCACCGGCCATGTCGTTGAGAACGGTGTTCACATGTGCGTTTCCTGTGTGGCTATTTGCCCTGCCTAGGCAAAGTCTCCGCACCGAGTATGGAAGGGGACGGTCGTTGCACTGGTTGATGGACTGGGAGCCAATAAACCATGATTCAAGCAGCTCCCTGCCCATGCGGTTGTCATTTCTAGCGAGAATTTCGGCCTCGTCGAATTTGAATGTGTGGCTGGATGTCGTCTAATATGCCGCGTCATTTCTCCTCACGGGTGCAGCGTGTTCGACAATTTGATTTCGAAGATGTCTTCCGGTTTCTCTGACGTAGTTGCTTTGTCCGCGACTGCACCACATCCGATAAACGACTCCAGATGTTTACTGCCATGTCAATGAGCCTTTTGTTTCCATTAGCTGACGCCTGATAGTTGCCATCGGTGTGTTTGCAACTCCAGCTTTAAGTGGAGTGTGAAGGTGGCCGGCAGCTCTCAGAACCCTCTTGACACACGGGAGCGCTCGCCAAAATGTGGTGTCCGTGCGGTTTTGACTATGATTCCTTTTGTATATCCACTGGTTGTCCCCGTTGAGCGGGTACCCACTGGCTTTGAAGATCCGTCGGAGTTACTGTAGTTCGGTAATCTTATCGTTCGGCTAGATGCAGTGCGTTCGAACAAGCCGATAGGACGTCCTTACACATTTGCGTTTGTGGCTGATTGGGTGGTTGCTGTTGAAGTTCAGTACTTGCATCGTATTTGTCGCTTTCCTGAACACTTCGGTCTTTAGTCCACCACAATCTTTGTGGCATACGAGGACATCCAGGAAGGACAGCTGGCTATTCTCGTCGTCCTTTATCGTACAATATATGTCCGGGAAGACCGCATTCAAATGCTCCTTGAATGTTGGCAGTTGATCCCGGTTAATAAGGACAAATCTATCATCCAGATACCGGGCCCAGAATTTCGGTCTGTGGTGTTGAAAGACCAGTGACTCTATTCGTTGCAGGAATCCCAAAATCGGCGAAGCCAATGGTGTGCCCTCCGCCTGCTCGTAGATTGTCCCGTCGAAATTGAAGTACGTCATGAGACAGATTTTTAGGAGCTGAATGATTTGTGCGCGTCCAAGACGATTCTCCGTTCCATCGTGTTTGCTTTGTAGAAGCAGCCCGATTGACTCAGTTGCCAGGTCCTGATTTATAAAAGTAAATATGGGCCTAACATAAAAAGATGCCATGAACCTAGTTGGATGGAGTCTTACCCCATTGTGTTTGTCCAGTAATTGTGCTGACGAAGAGACCGTAGTGTATAAGTCAGCGGTTAGGAACTTGGGACGCTGGAACGGTTACTAAGCCCATCCGTACGTTAGAGTAGCTTTGAATGACACGATTAGTTTGGAGAGAAGCGATCTCCTTGTGCACCTTAGGGAGGTCATAGAATCGGGAAAAAGCCGTATCTTTGGGTCTCGCCATGCGTCTGTCGATGGGTGTTATCGCACGTGAGTTCTCCAAGACCGACAACGGAGCAGTGATTTAGCATGTCGGCGCTTTCAGCGGGTTCGTTGCACATGGGACATAGAACTGTCGGTCCTCAAGTAAACGCTTGGCTATTTTACGGTGTTCTGTCCTGTCCAATACAACCATGGAGTGCCCCTTGCCTACTGGCACGATGACGAATTCCTTGTAGACTTGAGTTCTCTGTGAGCAACATCATCGACCTTGTCGACTCTGCGGCTCACTCAATGAGATCCGGACACACATTCAAATTCGACGAGGCCGAAATTCTCGCTAGAAATGACAACCGCATGGGCAGGGAGCTGCTTGAATCATGGTTTACTGGCTCCCAGTCCATCAACCAGTGCAACGACCGTCCCCTTCCATACTCGGTGCGGAGACTTTGCCTAGGCAGGGCAAATAGCCACACAGGAAACGCACATGTGAACACCGTTCTCAACGACATGGCCGGTGGATCAGATGGTCGAGCAATCATCACACCAACATCCAACGCACATGATGAAATTGCAATAATTAAGGACGCGAATGTCGACTATCACACCACGTGCAGTGTTCTCTGAATAAGGTGGTGGGAGTCGTGAGTATGTATAGGTATGCTGTAGCATGGCGACTGCATCCTGTAGATACTGCAGCCCCTTGTGCATGAGCCACCCGTATCTGTTTTTGTCTCTGATGGTGTGTTCGACCAGGGATCTGGAACGTCAGACTAATAAAACTCTTGTCCCGGCGATCGTGTCTTCGTCTTCGCGACTGCTTCCTGGCATTCGTCTATTCACTTTTACTGGTCTTACAAATTCCATTATCTTTTGTAAAATTAATGCACAAATATATGCTCTCTTTTACGCATTTTGCAGAAAATAACATTCTCTTCATTGTTTTTGTACCCGGAGATTATGTGTATTGCGGTTTTAAATAAGTTTACTATCTGCCGACTAATTTTGATTCTGATCTGCCATTCATTGCCGTTTAGCATTTTATGTCTATATATGGTCTATATTTACAAACATGTTTATGGTTCAGGTTTTGGCCGAAAGGATAATCATATACCGCTCTATCCTTAGAAAGATACCATCTAGAGTTCATGGAATTTTTCAACGGATCCCGAATATGTTGTACATTTCATGAGGAGCATTGGTAAATAGACATGTGCAGTCCTGTATGCCTAGATGTTACACGGTCTTAAAAATCTCATAATTAGGAATTTTTTAAAAACCCAAATACACTCTTTTTCATGTATAACTTGTGAAGAAAATGTTATTTTCTACCAAAAAAGTGAAATAAAGCATATGGTTATGCACATTTTCTAGAAAGTATCTTTGAATTTATAAGACCATCGAAAATAAATAGGACATATGCGTGCTACTTATGCAGTCATTTTTCACCGTGTGCGGTTCGTGCAGGAGGTCAAAAATCGGTTTATTCGAAAGCCGACATCCTTTTGAATCCGAAAAGCCATAGGCTTACTTTGCATGCTAGTCAATATTACAACCTCACCTAGTTACTCCTTTCTAATCGAAAGCACACTTCAAAATATCGACCAACATTTCATGAAATCGGTCATGCACTGTAAATACATAGTGGGACAGATTGACTCGTCTAATTTCTACTCTGATTGGCAAATTTGAGACATCCGGGTTGTTGATTTGAAGAAGTCGAGAAAGACCTACTGAATCGAGCCGCAGAAAATCCGAAGTTATTCTATGGTTACATAAGAAGAAGCAGACGAAACAGAGATCCAATCCCGTTACTGAAAACTAGTGACGATCTAGAACTCAGTGAAGACCGAGAAAAGGCAGAGCACCTTTCACAATTTTTTAAGTTCATCTTTACGAAGGAGAGCACATTTCTCCCTCCCGACTGCGACATAGTGGACGGGCCAACAATCGAGCACGTCTCTTTTGCCGAAGCTATTGTTCGCAAAGTACTGTTGACGCTGAATGAGTCCAAATCACCTGGGCCGGATGACATACCGCCGAAATTGTTGAAGGGGCTTGCTGGAGAAGTATCTAAACCGCTGTCCATGCTCTTCCAAGCTTCATTCGAAGCAGGCTACTTGCCCGCCGATTAGAAATCCGCGCGGATCACGCCAATTTATAAAGGCGGCAGTAAGGTCTTAGCAAACAACTACAGACCAATCAGCCTTACTTCAATTTGCTGCAAAATTATGGAAAAAATAATTAAGCGAGAAATAATGCATTTCCTAGAAGAGCATAATCTGCTATGCGATGCCCAGCACGGATTTCGTGGAGGCAGATCATGCGTGACAAATCTACTTTATTGTTTAGATCGCTGGACCCGGGCAGTCGATGGCGGCAATGCAGTGCACGCAGTCTACGTCGACTTTAAGAAGGCATTCGACAATGTACCACATCAGCGTCTCCTGTACAAATTAAGCCGGATAGGCATAAGGGGTAATCTCCTGAGGTGGATACAAAGTTTCCTGATCGGTCGCTCTCAAATCGTCCACGTCGGTGACAGGCAGTCGGCGGAGGTAGCGGTTGAAAGCGGTGTTCCGCAAGGCTCCGTTCTTGGCCCTACCTTATTCATTATATACGTCAACGACTGCGTCAGTGAACTGAATTGTGATGTCGCCATGTTCGCTGATGATGTTAAACTTTGGAGCGTCATCCGAACTGAATTGGACGAAGAGCGCTTGCAGGAAGACCTGACCCGACTCGAGAAATGGTCACAGGACTGGCTTCTGCCGTTTAATGTGACTAAGTGCAATGTTTTGCGAGTCGGCAGGACCCGATCTCAAAGCCGGAGGGTTTACTACCTAAATGGCGTACCACTGCAGGAGGTAGACGGCTTCTCTAAAACCGTCGCTCCACTGCTCCAAGGTAGCCAAGTCTGCGATGTCAGTCCTTTATCTTGTCAAGAGAGCTTTCTCTAGCTTCGATGAGGACTGCTTCGTTAAAGTCTTTCGGACTTTCGTACGGCCACAGCTAGAGTTCGCTATTCAGGCGTGGAAACCCTGGACCTCTAAAGATCGCAGCATCCTTGAGAAAGTCCAAAGGCGGGCGACCAAACTAGTAAGTGGACAGGGTTCACTACCCTATGAAACACGTTTGTCCAATCTCGGACTTTTTCCACTGAGTTACAGACAGCTAAGAGGCGACCTTATACAAACATTCCGTATACTGCGCGGCCACGACTGCTGTCTTGTACCTGCTGATTTCTTTGAGTTAGCGACCACAACGAACCTCCGAGGTCATCCACTTAAGCTACGCGTAACTGGCGCCAAGCTGGACATTCGGAAGTTCTTCTTTTCAAACAGAGTGATCGAGGCCTGGAATGATCCGCCTACAGATGTCGTCATGTCCACCTCCGTCGAGGCTTTTAAACGCAGGTTGGACCAGTTTACCACCAAACGTCATAATGCCACCTGACCGACAACGTCTAGCATTTTGTTCGAGCAGTTTGTTAATGTTGTTATATTACTGCTTGTATTTCAGTAACGTTTGTTTTTTATTATTTTCCAATGTCTGTTGAATGTGTGTTGGCATCTATATCGTCTCCCTCAGAAACTGAGATAGCACCAACTATCCATAGACAGACTACTGTACAGCACACTTAGTAACGTTAATGTTTTTAACTCTTGGAACAATTCGTTTATCTGTCTGGTTTGAAAACTTTACCAATCTGAAGACACTCTGTAGCTGTTTGATGTTTCCATTTCAACTTTTTGATATAGTTCGCTTCCTTGTAACAAATAGGGAGTTCATAGGTTCAACACCTATATTTCCCTCAAATAAACTGAACTGAACTGAACTGAATATTGATAGGTATGCGGTAGCATGGCGATCTCATCCTATAAATACTGCAGCCCCTTTTGCATGAGCCACCCGTATCTGCTTTCGTCTATGATGGTGGGTTCGACCAGGGGTCTGGAACGCCAGACTAATAAAGCTCTTGTCCCAGCGATCCTGTATGCTTTCTAACGACTTTTGCTATCATTTTTTTTCTAATTAGCAATGGTCTCAGGCATTTATACGGTCAGAAAGCGTCATAGTTTACTTTTTAGCATCTTGCTTAGAAGTGCCTATAAATAAACTTTTGTCATGAGTGCTTGAGATGCTCCGCAATATAAGAGAAGATAAATTGCATTTATAAACCTACTAGTCGTCGATTTGCATCGGTTTATTAGGCATCTTAAATATAAGGTACCGTTCTACGACTATCAGTATGAGAGTTTTGGGAAGTGATTCAGTAAACGTCCCCAAGTACAGGTGTTGCTGCAGTAGTCTGGGCGAAACTGTTTGTCTCAGTGTATGTAGGACATATTTGTAGGCATTGAACAACTGTTTATTGTCAACCGGTTGCGATGTACTTATAGTGAAATTACGAGGTTTTTTTTCGGCAGAACCATGCACGTTTACCGGGCGTTTTCCTTGGTGCCGAATTTACGTAAAAGTAGGCGGGCCTTCCATGCATCACCTGCTTTAGCAAATCTGACGCCGTAAAGTTTGGCCAACGTGTGAACCAAGAACCGAATTCACATCTGATTCCGGATCATAGGTAAACTCAGGTATGCTGGAAGCAACTGCGTCCACGGACGTGAAATGCTTCCCAGGGGACGCTCGAACAGAAAGGTGCAGACTGAACTTTTACATCCTGGACTCCATCATCTTTATATGGGCTGCTATAAATTGAGCCTGATATTATTGCAGGATAGACAGCAGCTGTTTCGCGGAAATGGACATTGTGAGTTTTGTGTCGCCAATTTGTTATGCTCTAGGCATAACGCTTATCTAGTGGCCCCGCTTACAACTCTTGACAATCGAATGCCCCAGAAGAGAACTTAAGAGAAAGTGACTGAAGAACACACTTCTATTGCTGAGCTCCTAACAGCAAAATCTGATGATTAAAAGGTAGAGGCAGAATGTCCAACAGTGGACTTCAGTTGGGCCAATCAGATCATGCCCTTGACCTGTTTGCATGTGGACTTTCCTGCTGAGATATCTGAGAGTCTCGGCGCCCCTCCAATCTTGCCGTTGGGTGGCTCGATTGCAACACGTGCAAACCCTGCGGGCAGGTCGATAGGACGGCATGTACGTGCGTCGTTAGAAGGGCATGGGAAAGAGTCTGTTATGGTGGTCCCTCAAAACACCGGATACCTCTTCGGACGAGTCCTGTGGCCTCCTACCCCATGCTTCTACATCTCCCTCACACTCTGTCCCTCCCGACCGTCTATTCCCTGTCTTTTTATGCCTGTTTCAACCAACCAGGTATTCCACATCAAACTTAGCCACACCAATTCCATGACCATCTCACCCTCCTCTTGCCCTTCCCGTATTTGTCACTCCCAGTGGGGGCCATCTCCGTGTCTCTGAATGTGCTGTTACTCATATAGGTTAGACTTGTTTATATCCTACAACGTCATTTTTCGCCGCCATGCAGTCACGAAACTGGGTATTGTACCGAGGTACTAGTCAACAGCCGACAGACCAGCCACCATACATGCCTCAGACGTTGCACTTGTTGATGGACTGAGTAAACAATGACTTAAGCAGCTACTTTGTTCATGCGTTTGTCAACTCAAGCGAGAATTTCGGCCACGTCGAATTTGAATTTGTGGCCGGATCTCGTCGAATGAGCCGCAACTTGAGTATAGGCGTCATTTCTCCGCACAGCTGCTGTGTTCGGCCATTCGCGTTCGCAGTTGTCTTCCGGTTTCGCCAACGTATTTGCCTTGTCCGCAACTGCACCAGATCCGACAAATGACTCCACACGTTTACTGCCATGACAGCGGACATTTTGGTTTCATAAGTTGACGCCTGATGGTTGCCTCTAGTCTGTTTGCATTTCCAACCTCAAGGGGTTTGTGAAGGTGGTTAACAGCTCCCGAAACGTTCTTGACATGCGGATGCGCTTGCAAAAATATGATGTCCCTGTGGTTTGGCCTTTCGTGCCCTTTGTGTCTTCACCGGTTGCCGAATTTGCGCGGGTACGCATTGGCTTTGAATACCCGTCGGAGTTATTGTAATTCGGCAATTCCGTCTTTCTGCTCATTGCAGTGCATTTCGTCACGCCGATAGAGCGTCCATATACTAATTATTGGGTGGTTGCTGGTGACGTTTAGTTTTTGCATTGTATTTGTCGCTTTCATGAACATTTTGGTCTTTAGTCCACCACAAAATTTGTGGCATACGAGGACATCCAGGAAGCCAAGCTGGTTGCCCTCTTCCACCTCCATCGTAAATTCTATGTTCGGGAAGACCGCATTCAGATGTTCATTGAATGTCAGCAGTTGGTTCCGATCGATAACGACGAAGGTATCATCCACCAACCCAGCTCAGAATTTCGGTCTGTGATGTTGAAAGACCAGTGGTTGTAACCGTTACAGGACCGCCTCGGTAATGAACTCTGAAACCGGCGAACCCATTGGTGTGCCCTTCATCTGTTTGTAGATCGTCCCGTCGAAGTTGAAGTACGTGCTGAGACAGAACTTCAGGAGCTGAAGGACTTGGGCGCATTTAATACGATTCTCTGTTTCATCGTGGTTGCTTTATAGAAGCAACTCGATTGTCTCGGTTGCCAGGGCCTGGGCGAATAAAAGTAAAAAGGGACGTAACATAGAAAGATACCATAATCTCATTTGGATAGGGGCTCACTCCTTTAAGTTTTTTCAATAATTGTGCTGATGTAGATTCCCTGGTTTCTGACTGAGCGGTGAGGAACTTGAGACGCCAGAACAGCTACTAGCCATTTCGTACGTTGGATTAACTTTGAGCGATGCGATGGGTCGAAGAACAGTGATCTGCTTGTGCAACTAAGCGCGGCCATAGGATCGGGCCAAAGCCATATTATGGGGTTTCGACATGCGTTTGTCGATCGGTATTATTGCACCTGAGTTGTCCAAGGCCAGCAACGTAACATTGATTTCGCGTGTCGTTGTTTTTACGTTGTTCATTGCATATGGTCTTTCCTGTACAACCCTGAAGCGCCCCTTACCTACTGAAGATATTACCAGGTTTTTGTTGGCCTTGAGTTCTCTACTGAACATCACCTTCTTCATTGGAAAGCACTCCTCGCGGCCTGTGAGCCATTAGAAGTGACGACACTTGGTGGTCAGATGAGGCCCTTAGTCTCATCCTTTGCCTCCGTCTGACTAAGGATTGATTCCACTGCTGCAATAATGTTAAAATTTTTGGCGTAGATCGTGTTAACTGAAAAGTCGTGTCTTAAAACTTGCATCAGTAGTATTTTTTTACACCAAACATATCGTGAGTCTTCGAGGTTAATTAGAAAAGCATATTACATTAGGCATCAATTATTTTGGACCGAAACAAATTATTCCGTTCCGAGGTAAATGTTGTGATGTGTTCATGGTGCAGGTGGTATGAAACTTAGCGTAATGTTTTGATGATTTTCCAAATTATACAAACGTACTTGCCTTTATACACGTTTTTACCAACCTGCAATATTGATATGGAGTCGTTTGGATTGGACTGGATTTGGAGTCTCACTTGTTAATGGCATTTAAATAGAAATGGGTCCCAATAAAATAGTTTTATACTCATGAGTTGGCGTTTGTTAAATAATGTTTTGGAACGGTTAATGTTACTTGCCTCCCAATAAAATGAATGTTTACGTTGTAAAAGATCCGTCATGTTACGAGACAGGTTATGGCAGTTTCCTCGAACAAATATGTGAAATCGCATGCGAAAACAATTCGTCCTAATGGAATCGTATTGCTTTCTTATCAACGTTTCCATGGAATTACTATCTATCTGTGGGTGATCGTTCAATATAGCAGTGAAACGTCTATCTCTGTACATGGCATGATGGATTTAAATGTGTAAGATCACTTCAATTAGTCTGTTAAAACACGAATCAGTAAAGAACATTTAAAAGGCGATGCGGGTCTAAAAGTTGTCTTAAGCGCACCCTAACTTTGCTTTCGGATATGACGAATAACATTCCCAATTCTAATGAAACTCCGTGAATTTGCAATTCTCTATTATACTCGAGTTCTAATGAACCAATAACTGCAACTCTGAATTCGTGGGAACTGATACCTGATAAGTGCGATATATTGCGCAAAGCGAAAACACAGATCGGTGCTTCAATCGATTAATCCGATCTCTGGCAGATGTCGTGACTAACACGAAAATGTCACGGTCGTTCAAATACTGCGTACAAACCACACAAACCTAATTTTTAGGAAATCGTTTCTTTTCAAACACCAATCGGCATAAAAAGTGCTAATTTCCATCGAATTTTGCCTTTGGGGTTCACAACGCCGTTACACATTAACAATCAGTAAAGATTATATAACGCTGGTTGTAATAATGATTATCGTGCAACACAATCCTGTAGTGCTGTTTTTTAAATGTGCATGCAACATCCGCATTCGGCGTACATCATTGCTTAAATTAGGAAATATTGCCCTTCTTAATTCTGATTCCTTTTCTTACAACGAGGTCAAGCTTTTTCGCGTAAACCTTGGGTATAATGTGTCTTCTTTCGTTAACTCTAAAGTTAAAGATGGCGCTTAATTCAACTTAATAGTTTTCTTATTATTAAAATATTGTGGTTTACCCTTTGTTGCATTTAAAAATTGTGTACTTTTCCCTAGAGGCATCCATAAATTGCCTTATATCTTAAGGACTGTAGGGACTGGGTTTTTCACTATATCACAAACGTTAATTAACGGATGTGCACGGTGTTTTCCGAATTGACACCAAGTGCGTTGAAAAAAACTCATAAGGACTTAGTTTCAACAAGTAGAATTATAACCCTGTCAAGTATTACAATTGGAGTAAGTGATCAACGGAGATATATAGTGCGCCACTTATCAGCTAACACTTATCGGATAAAAATGAGGTATTTAAAATAAGAGCGATCCATCACATTATACATAAACCTACTTGTTCCGTTTGTCGTTTATTGCACGTGTTCGAAAACATGCGGAGGCAAAAGCGGTTTCGACAAGTAACATATGTACATAGGAAATAATTTTGTAGGATAAATTATGCCATCATTCTGAACAACTACCCTTTCCTAGTCGATTAGGCGTTAAAGCCCTGCGTTTAATGTTCTACACTTATGACTTTTGCACATAAGTCAACTTTGTCATATTGCATTACCTTTTAAGAAATTAGAAATCGAACAATTTAGATAAATGTAAAATCGTGAACCACACCATGATTATTTTTCTAAAATATTAAAGAAACGTGCGGTGCACAACATCTTTCGAATTTTACCGTTCATAATGACTCCAATGGATAAAGAGCAATAATGTCCATACCTAGTAAAAAAGCCACAAAGGACTTTTGCAAGTATTTCATAAAGTCTCATTTCAGTTTTCACAAACCAAAACACCCCTTTACGTTTTACATCCTCTGCGAACGCCTCAACGGAGAACACAATTTTCTCCGGAATGCAACTTACGGGCAGTCTTTACATTTTATATGTAGATATTCTGCATATATGCACTCCTATAAATGGATAACCAGAATTGCACGATTTAAAATTTATTTTAAATCTGAAAAAAATATTCCCCGGGTACACATTTAAAACAAGCAAACATAACGAAGTCCATTGGTCCTGTCAACGTTCGCAACAACGTATTATCTGTGAACTGCCGCTGTATAGCAAAAATAGCGAAAGCCGATCATAGAGCGACTTGTATTTACAGGAATAAATCAATACGAAAAAGGCAGGTCATTGTTTACTCTACACAGACTATGAAATGAAAATAAAAAACTGCGAATCGTAAATGAGAAAAAAACGATGGAAACTAATACGCAAATCAGGGCAAACTTTAACATAATACTAACATAACTTGATGTGGATAATGCACCCCTCATGATTGAACTCCAAAGATCCAGCAATAAATGCGCTCGTAGATGCCCTTGTATAGTAAGCGCGTCAGTCAACGACGGGGGCCTAATGACGGAGGCAAATAGATGCAGAAAACCAGAATGGTTTCCAAACTGCTTTGAAGGGAATGGAAACACATCAAATAGATGCACATTAACAACCGAAACTTAAAGCAAAGGCCGGACATCGATGTTCAGTTTGCTGATCATCCCTGTCATAGATCATCGAAATGTTCCCAGACAGACAACCTCTACGACTAAAAGGTAGTGGTTTCTGCTTATTTAGCCCCATAAACTGTTGACCCCAGGCCGCACGCGATAAAGATGAACTCAGGCAGGCAAAATGACTGCTATGACGGTTAATCAGTTATGTTGTCGCCTGCTTTCTTCAATACGCAATGGGCTGCACTTGAGCGAAATGTCTCACGTGTACGTTGCGTGTTAACTTAGTATTTGTTTACTTGCAATCGCTGTAAGTTGAAGAATCGTTGTTTGCTTACTGATTTTTTAAGGCAGTGGCTAGTACTTGCCTGAAGCCAAAATAAATCGTGATTTTGCGAACACTCATGCCACGAAACAGAAGTTGCTAGTCAATTCTTGTATTTAACCATGACACATCTACGAATCATCTTCGCACAAAACCGTTATTTATTACGAAACGGCACCAGTGTGCTATACTCTTTTTGTGTTCATTGTGGCTATTTGTTTTCGTCCGTAAAAGTGGTTTAGACGAGGGCTTTTAACCACCTGCGAATACAGATTTGTTATTGCAGTTGCATTTCTTCTCAGACTTCCACGAACAAATCCATTGCCTTGTGTTTGCGTTTGTTATGAAGATAAGACCATAGTCTCTATGAATAATACAGTGCATTCAAATGTATATGATCATTTATTCCTGTCATCAAAGTGAAAACTAATAAAGGTTGGTCACGAGCCACCATGAGAGTAAGCGTTGTTTAAAATGTAACCCAACTATAACCTAACTATATTGTAACCTAATTATATTGAAGTATTGTATTACATGTGGTATGTGTCCTATGACACAGCGTTCGTTGTCGCCAGTAGCAAACTGGCGGGTGGACAGAATGGGATCGAGTGAGATCCGAACCACAACAGTGAGTATCAAACGCCCGCTTGACAAAATATTAAATGTTACATCTGCGTTTGTTTGTCTGATTTATGTCCAGAATGGAAAACAATTTCATAATACCCTGTGTCCATTTTGCAATGCAGAGTAATTTCAATGTCGGGAACAATTAAGGTTCTAATCGACCGTATTTACTCAATTCGGTTTTTATTCCCGTGTTTTGCAACTGACACAAAAATGACCTGGTCGTTCAAATTCAGTAAAACCGTAAAGCACATTTGCAGGAAAATCACTCATTTTTAACGAAAAAGATGAGTAAATTAATCGCAAATTCTTACTGATTTATATCGTTGGAGGTAGACGTGCCGCTGCCAGTTGCAGCATTCGGTTTGCCGTCGTTTTGGTTAAAGATTCATTAGTGGTACGAAGAGGCCTTTCGTGAAATCGTTTATTAGATTGATAAAGAGAGTATGGGTGTGCGTACAAATTTTAATGACCGGGCGTTAATGAGAGATGGCTGCAAGAGATTTTCGAAGAGGCATTAAATGATTGTAAAACAGCACTTTATGATGTGGTGCATAAGAGGCGTCTTCGCGTGCG